CCATCTTCATCAGAAACAGCTATGGTTACTTGTGATTGTCCTTCAAGACTGGACATTTTGGCATTCCCTTGTAGAATCGGGGTGGGGTGGCAAAGTCCTCAGACCTCACCAGAGCTCTCAAGCACTCCCTAGTGAAATCCCCTGCCAGTGATATTCAGTTCTTCCTCAGATGCACATGGACTTGGGAGGTGAGACACAGAGTACATACAGTTTGGAAGAGTAACTGGAGATCTTCATCCAGCTATGGAAGTCAGCCTTATGAGGACTTCCCAGAAGTCATTGGGTTTTTTGTAATGTACTGTTTCAGGGTCATCTACACTCCTACAGCTCTTCACCCATGCTCTGTAAGCAAGCCCAATAAACTCACAGGTTCACCAACGTGGGTTTTGGTGGAATCATTACTGTGGTCTGTCATTGGTACCCTATCTGGGGGAGTAGCCGCTTGTTGGTGTCTGCCTAGGGAAAGTCACACAACATATGCTTAGGATGAGAATCTCTTGCAAGTTCTCAGCAGTAGAAAGGACGGTCACTGAATAGCCATTATGCAAAAGCAGCCAGTGCTTTTATCTCAATGAAAGCAGACTTTCCACAAAGTGTCTTCATAAGTGACGCTCCTTCCACTCCTGTGAGCAAATCTGTGCTGATTATTATGTTGCTCCAAGAGCCGGGAGATATTTCATGCTCTGCTTCTACCCATTATGGGTAGCCAAAATCCATTTCACACATGCTGCTTCCCAGCAAAGCATACTGAATCCTGTAGACACTCGTTATTTCCAGAACAGAGAAAAATCTCTTTGGATCTGTTGTGAGCCACCGGGAGATTCTGACAGCCTCATTTCCTGCTGCTTTCTGTTACTCATCTCTGGTCCATTCGTTTCCTTTAGAGCCTGAAAATGCACCAAGGCCCTCTATCACTGCCTGCTGCCTACCTGCCAAGATGCCCCCCCCCACTGGCTAATTTTCAGATGAATTATAGATTATTTAAATTTGTTCTGTAACCACATGCCTTCAGTCTCATCACTCAGGAGGCAGAATCAGTCTTATCTCTGTAAAAGTGGCGCTGGCTTGGTCAACATAGAGAGATCCAGAACAGCCAGAACTACATAATAAGATACTACTTCTAAAGACAAAAACAAAATAACATTTGTTTGTTCCATTTTCTGTTGCATGTGTGCCTACACATCTTGAGACTTTAATTTCAGGCTTAATTTATCTTCACGTAGCTAGTTTTAGGCTTGAAGATAAGGAATTCATTCACAAATATTTCTGAGAGCCTCATTTCCTGCTGCTGTCTGTTACTCATCTCTGGTCATCCTGAGGTGTACTGACATCCAGCTGCCTCTATTCCAACCCAGGTCTAACCAGGCTTCTTCAGGCAAGCACTGAGCAAATAAGATCTGTGCCATGTACAGTTTTTTATATGAGCAACTGACAACTTACAATAATTTCACCAATCTCTTCGAGTTGGAAAAACCATCTCTAACTTAACACTAGTATTAGTAATGCTATGACAAACTTTTTTTTTTTCTTGCATATGGTCATGCGTCAAAATATTATTTGATATAACTTCAAGTGGATGCTGGCTGGGCTAATTAGTAAACATACCAACTATGTTTTAATTATATCCCTGTCAGAAAATTATCATGATTAGCTGTCAAGATTTGGTGCTGTGGTCCTTTGCAGTTGATGCCGCTGTTACAGTGTGAGATATTTCTGCTGACTTTCAGGACCTGTTTCTTCATTTATGTCTCGGTAGGACAAAACAACTTACATCTCTGATTCCCATGGGTTATTTTAATGCCTCCAGAGTGACTGCTACTGGAGTGTCCTTACTACAATTCTAGAACCTGAGTGCCTCTGCTATGTGTTTGTTTTGTTCCAAGGATTTAACTGTCTACAAAGGATTGTCTTATCCCCTTCTTCCCCCTTCTGTGAACTTATACGTTGTGTGATTCTATTATTTTTTAAATTACATTTTATTTACTTATTGTATGTGCACATGCGTGTTGTGTATGTATGTGAATGATTGCTCCAGTGTGTGTGTGTGTGTGTAGGTCAGAGAACAACTGGCAGGAGTCAATTATCTTCTTCTACTGTTTGGGTCCCTATTGTTGTACTTCTTTAAAACTCTTTTATTTACATTTCTTATATCTCTTTCTCCCTACTCCACTCCAATCCCTTCCAACACCAGGTAGGAGAGAGAAAGGGTTAGTGGGAGAGGAGGTGAAGTTCTCTTAGCTGCTTCCTGCTGGTTAGGGTCACTGGGTTCCTTGGAGACAGTCCAATCCTTCTTTCAAGACATCTCCAACTTCTTGTCTCACTGCGTCAACAGCAACCAGGCGCCAAAGAGGGTGAGTAGCGGCAGCCTTGTTCTTGCCTGGAGCTCTTCAACGCTGGGCTCTGGCATTTCTTCTTTCTAGAGTCCTCAGATTTAAACTACTTGAAGCTGGCAAAGAGCTCTTCTCAGAGCCCACACAAGGCAAATAGTTCGTTGCTGAAGACTATCTGAATCAGTTCTACATCCCACACCTGGGATTAAAACAAAAATGGTGTCTCTCCTTACCTACTGAGCCATTTCATTGGCCCTCTGTTGTAGTAAATTAAAAAAAAAAACAAACCTGAGGGTTGAGCTATAAGATGTTTATTATTACTCCTAAGATTATAACAGCAGTATTATCTAACCCATAATCACAAATAATGAGACACAGACAACTGTTAGACCTTGGTCCAGGCAGTTATTTTACCTACATTGTCTCAATAACCTCACCATCCACCTCCCAGCCCCATCCAATGCCATCCACCTTAATCCTCCTCATCTGGTCTGCCTTCCATCCATAATCCATAATTGCTAGTACTTTTCATCTGAGCCTTTTCACGCATTTATTTGAGTCCTTCTCAGCCCACATGCTTTTTTTTCTCCGCAGTAACCCATCATGGTGTCCTCCTTCCTCCTCTCTTCCCATCTGTCTGTTTCCCATAATTCTCTTGAATGTCCAAAGCCGGGGAACCTTAGCCACACCTACTCCATTCTACTCCAGGCATAGGCTGTTTAATCAACCAATCAGATATAATGACTTAGGCAGGTTTACACAGCAAAGTTAGGTTTACATGAGAATGTGCTCTTCTGAGCAGGAACAAGATCTTGGGGGCCAGTAATTAACATTAAAATACATGGCACCAGGCCAACCCCCAACAGCCCTCTTACAATTTTACTAATCTACTAAAAGCAAAATATGTACTAGTCTGTTAAAAGCAATGATGTTCAGACAATTCTATTTCGACCCAAGTTTTCTGTTCTATTGAGTTTATGAACCAAAGCCATCTTTTTAAGGGTCTGTGCATCAGTTTTTCCCTTCTACTAGTAATGGATTGCCTTCTGAAGCTCCTAAGAGTCTAATGGTGAACAAAAACTCTGATTCACTGGTTCACATTTTTTATTAGCTCTTGTTTTCATCCACCTCCTTCTCCAGTGGTGGTGGAGTATTTCTAAGGTCAGTGGTTCTGGGCACAGGGAAACATGACTATATATAGTCTCAAGCTACTCCAGAGGGAGATACAAGAATATGGAGTAAATAATGAACAAATAATAGAATACTGAGGAGAAGGTAACCTTCTGGAAGAATCTAGAAGAAGGGGGTCCTTGAAGATAGCTCAATCCCCTACTCCTCCTAATTTTGTACAACCTGAGAAACTATCATGAAACTAAGTCTCAACTTTCATTATAAAACTTCAACTTTTCTTAAGCGATCCATGAGATCATTTCTGGGAGCTTGAACAGTCTCAAAAAGGAGCTAGACATGAAGCAACTATCTTGGGCTTTTGTTATTTGGTTGGTTTTTGGAGACAGCGTCCTGCTGTCACAGAACCTCACCATATAGACCAGGCTTGCCTCAAACTCAGAGATCCACCTGTCTGCCTCCCGAGTGAGCCATCAAGCCCATCTTTTAGTTGCTTGTTAATCAAGAAAATGCTGCACAGACTCACCCACATGTCAATCTTATGGAGACAGTTTCTCAATGGAGGGTCCCCTTTCCTAGGTTATTGAGACAGTGTAGGTAAAATAACTGCCTGGGCCAAGGGCATTTTACCATGTGTTTTCATAGTCACAAAGGGTCTACATTCCTCCAGGCCCCACCTGTGGGCTTTTCTGAAAAATGGGAAGAAGTACCCTAAAAGGGTGAAGGAGTCTTCTATGACTTGGGAGGAGGAAAGGGTCGCCTTACTTCATGAATTATGCTCCCACTTCCTCTTCATAAAAATAAATGTCTTTAAATCCCCAACAGAGACCTTTTGAAACAGCCCGCTCCTCTCCCTCTCCCTAACGTGTTCACTTTACTAAACTTCTCCTTAAACTGTCTCTCATCTATTTCCTTTGATAACATAGGAACCAAAAGCTCAAAATGATGGTTTGAGCCCAGGAGTTTAAGACTAGACAGCTTAGAAAGCACAAAAACACAAGCACAAACACTCAGTTGACCACCCACGTTACAGCAGTTCGAGTAGGTCTTGGAGGGACACGGTTATCTAAGTAAAGATAGACTTGCCATGCAGCTGAGACAGAAATTACACAATCCTGTTAAGTGCCATTACTGTTCCCATTTTACAGGTTAGGCAACTAATGCGTGGGAGGCTGTCAGTCAACTACAACCATTCAGGTATGGGGAAGTGGCTCCCACTCCATTAAAATAAAGAAAAAATAAAAATAAAAATAAAGAAAAGGCAGGTAGACAAAGAACGAAAACATAAAACTGTAAAAGTGGCAAGGAAACAGACACCGGCGGACAAAACAGCACATCTCCTGTCTCCTTCCGCGAAGCCAGGGCGCCTCACAGCGGCTGCCGCTGTGTCATCGACGCTTCCGGCTTCAAGATTGCGTCATTTGAGAGCGTCCCGCGAAGACTCTGCTGCGAGCTTGTGCGCGGCCTACGACTTCCGGCCACGAGGCGGGTCTTCCGGCCTCCTCCAAAATAATTTCCGTCAGGGACCGGAAAATCCTCCCGGGTAGCCTGAGGGGTGTCCTATGAGTGGAGGTGAGGTTTCGGCGACCGGCCCCCGTCCGTCCGCGGCTTGCTGCGCGCTGCAGCCCGCAGCTCCCGGTGTCGGCGCGGATCGGCGGCGGCCTTGAGGCGCCGGGGCAGCGGTGGGCATGTCGTCGGGCCTCCGCGCCGCAGACTTTCCCCGCTGGAAGCGCCACATTGCGGAGGAACTGAGGCGCCGGGACCGGCTGCAGAGACAGGCGTTCGAGGAGATCATTCTGCAGTGTGAGCCGCACGCGCCGGCCCGGGGCGGGGGAGCGGAGCGGAGCGGCGCGGCAGTGGGAACCCGGGGCCGACTCCGCCCGCGCGCATGGCGGCCTCTTCGGGGACCTCGCGCCCCGCGCGCCCCGAGATCCTTCAGCGCTTTTCTTCTTTCTTTGACTTTGGGCGGCATCGTGGAGGGTTCCCCTGCCATGTTCCTTCCACACAGGCGTCGTTTGTGGTTGTAAATCTCAACAAACCACTCGGCGTGGATGCGTTTAGGTAGTCAGGCTCCAAAAACATCCTGTCTAAGGGATCAAGTTGGAGATACACACTGACTTTAAGCATTAATTCGAGAGATGAACATTCTCTTCGGAGTGCTGTGAAACGAATGGTTTTTTATTTCTCCGGGCCTCCATTTTTTTTTTTTTTAATACATTTGAGTTTGATGATTTGTCTGTTGGATCATATGGCTTTTGCTATAAATGAAAGCCTTAAGTGAGAAAGAAGTGATTTCTTTGCTCTTTTAAGGATAGAAAGTATCCTTCGTGGTTTTTTTTTTTTGTTGGGGGGGGGGGGGTTGGTTGGTTTTGTTTTTTTGAGATAGGGTTTCTCTGTGTATTCTTGCTGTCCTTGAGCTTCCTACAGAGACCAGGCTGGCCTCGAACTCGCAGATATCCACCTGTTGTGCTGGGATTAAAGGCCTGTGCCATTATGCCCGGCCAATCTTGTATTCTAAAGGTGGGTTCTCAGCACCTTGGTGCCTCGCGTTCCCAGTTTTGCCAGTCTATTTGACATTTAAGGGAAGATGACAACCCTTCAGTCCTAAGGTCCCATCTGCTTCTTGAGATAACCTGGGGGGAAAAAATCTTCCTAAGTTTTGGTGAAATATTAATTCTGTTGTTTGCGTTCTAATTGGGATAAATCGGTAGTTTCCAGGCTTATCTGCACGTTAGAATCACCTGAGGATCTGTTAAAAAAATATTTGAAAATCAAAGACATCTGAGACTAATTATGCCAGTATAAATGGCAGAGCATGAATACCACTTTTTATGCTTCCTAAGTAGTTCTTATTTGCACACAAGTTTGAGCACTTTATTAAATAATTGGCATGTGTTATTTCATCTTAAATTCTGTGAAGCATCAAGGTCAGCAGTGATTGAGTAACATCTTTGGAGTTGCATTGGTTTAATGGTGGGGCTGGGATTCCATTTTTTATGTGTTTTTGTTTTTTTTTTAATTTATTGATTTTAATTTTAAGATACTTTTGCATATTTTCTTCTTGGATCTTCCAAGAAATGGTCCTTTCAAAGTCAAACTGGGTTGGAAGCCTCACTCTCTCCTTACTGACCACTTCACTTTTCTGGTGTGATGCCTCTTTAAAATGGGAATGAAGAGATGCCCTGCCTGCTTCATAAAAACAGTGTAGTGTGTATAAGGGCTGTAAACACCATCTGTTTGATGAAACATAGATGTCACAGAGACAAATTGAATTGTTTTATTAATTTCAAAACTGGATGTCCTGTTGGTAGGAGGATTTAGGAACCATTTGAACAATCAGAGATGGGGGGGGTATTTTAAATAATGAATATTCTTTCCAAGTTCTGGAGGGATCAGCTGAGATGAATTGGTGATCTGGTCCTTAAATAATACTATCTGCTTGGAGCAGGGGAAGCTGGGACAACCACAGAAGAAATTTCTTGTATTTATAACTCTAGAGGTGGAATCTGAGCTTGCTAGGTTAATGAAGGCACTAGATAGAATGTGAGGCTGTAATTTAGGAAGCTAATCTTACTGTCCCACCCTCCTCTAGGCTGTTACATGGTAGTATTTGTGTCAGTTTAAGGAAGGTGCTGGGTAGCATGTATGGTATGGCTGGTCAGTTCTTTTGGGGCAGCCTCTGTGATCCTACTGAAAGAATATATGTTTAGGTCAGTCAGGTTAATTAATGGCTGTTTGAGGACTCAGGAGAAGAGAAAACAATACGGGAGGCCAATGGAGCAGGTTGGACAAACAGTTTTTGCTTGCTTAAATCTTTCTTCATAGGCCAGGGCATTGGGCATATCTTTTCCAGTTTGACTATGACCCAGTTCGTTCTAGCTTTCTCAGGCCAGTCCTTCTGGCCATTTATCTTGTGTTTGCTATGTAGTTCTGTCTAAGCCTGAAGACAAACATGAAAAGAGGCCTTGGGTAGGCATAGGTTCCTTACAGCACCTTCTCTGTAGGATTAAAAGAGCCCTCCTAAATGCCTGTGTCCTTTAAAAGTCCTGGCCACCCTTATCACAGGGTGTCCATCTATGGTAAAAACTAATTGGCACCAGATTTTTGTCTTATTGTCATCTTTTCAAGGAACCACTTCCTCCTAAAGTTCACCAAATGTAGGAAAAAGTTGCCTGCCTGCACTTCCATTTTCAAGAAATGGGACTGCCACCATGCCCAGCTTTTGTTGTATTTCGGATTTGTAACCACCTTCCTTCAAAGCTCTATAAGGTTCCTGTGGTCAGTTTCTCATTCTCCTTGGTGACGTTGGGACTCAGAAAGTGGTGCTTTAGTTTTGAGACTGGCTGACTTTGTAACCCAGACTGGCAGCCCAACTGAGATCCTTTTTAAGCCCTACAGAGTGCTGAGATTGGAGGCATAGCCCCTGACGCAGAGCTGCCTTTTGATGTGCTGAGGTGTATCTCCCGTTTCTCCCCCAGGCACAAAAAGGGTTCTTTTACCAACCGAGAATTTTTTTTTCTTTTTTCTTTTTTCTTTTTTACCAGTTCTGTGTGGCTTTGAGCCCAGAGACCTCAGAGCACATTCTCTCCCTAGTAATCTCATCAAATAACTAGGAAAACTAGATCCTGGGGAAGAGAATCTTAAACCTCACTTTCTTACCTTCCCATTGTGTATTTTGCACAGCTCCACGTGAATAGTTTTCTTTGTGTTAATTTGCTTTTCGTTATAGCACTGTAGGACCTTTTGTGGCGGGATCACTCCCATTTCTGCCCCTTCAGAGCCCCCTCAATCAGACTTCCCTGGACTGTGCCTTTATCCCTGACTATGTCTTTCAAGCTCCGTTGCTCCGTCTGTTCTTTTGAATTCCTGTAATATTTACTATCTCTTATGGGCAAAAAGAACTTGTCTTATTTCCAAAGTTTTTCCTATAGAGTTTAGACATAAACCCCCATCCATTTGCCTGAGCAAGAAGCCTCACACTGGTCTTTGACATCTTTCTAATTCAAGTTTTTCATGTAATTGTCTGCTTTTACAGCCTCTTATTCCATCAATGCCAATAAGAAGTTTAACTATTTCACAATTACACCTTTAATCCCAGCACCCGGGAGGCCAAGGTAGGCAGATCTCTGAGTTTGAGGACAGCCAGGTCTACATGGGGAAACCCTGCTTGGGGGGGGGGGGGGGGTAAATAAATAAACTCTAAATATTTCATCTTTTTTTTTTTTCTGTGTTGGCTTCAATCTTTATTTCTAAACATTAGACTTTCTGCTTTTTCCAGTGCCTTGATCTAAACAGTAGTTAAATAGAGTTTCATTTTGCTGCAATGCATGGTGTCTTGTTCCTACTCTTGAGGTGGAAAACAGTAGCCCTGGAGGAAGGAAGCAATTTTGGTTTTCTCCATAGGGGTCATTCTTGCAGGTGTGTGTCCATGGGTTTCTGCATCTGAGGAATTAAGTTCCTAGATTGCTATAAGTTGTGACCAAGCGTCCACAAATATTTTGATACCTAATAATGATGACACATGCTCAGGTATCTGGTGCTTTTTTGGTCCCAAGTTTTGTAAGATATGTGCATGGTACAATAATTTATTTTTCTTTTTATATATATAGATACCAAGCTGCTGGAAAAGTCAGATCTTCATTCAGTATTGGCCCAGAAACTACAAGCTGAAAAGCATGACATACCAAATAGGCATGAAATAAGGTATTCTGAAACAAATTTATATTGTATTTTTTATTTGAAACTTGTCTTAGTGTTCTCTTGTGCATCTTGTTTGTTTGTTTTCAAGGCAAGGCCCCCACACTATAGCCCAGGCTGGTTTTTTGAACTTGTGGTGACCCTTCTTCAGCTTCCCACAGGCTAGGATTATAGGAGTACACCAGCACGCCCTACTTAGTTATCCCTTTTGAAAGTAAAGAGACACTATTTTCAAGCCTAGCTTTTCTCAGTTTCCTTCAAATAAAAACTAAAATCATGTAACTAAAATAGTTGTTGATAAGACACATACACACACAGTCTTAAAAGCCTTGTCAGTATAGTGTTACCAAGTTGAGAACGTTCTCAAGCCCTGTTCATAGGGCATCTGTGTCAGTCTCTTCTAACACACTGGGCTCTACTTTTTGAATATCAGAAAGAAGAACTAGGTCTGGTGTTAAACACCTGTAATTCCATCAGTTGGGAGGCAGATGCAGGCAGATCTCTTGGGTTCAAAGCTAAATTGTTCTACATATTAGGTTCCAGGCTAGCCAAGGCTACGTAGTGTGATTCTGCCTTTTTCTTTTCTTTTCTTTTCTTCTCTTCTCTTTTCTTTTCTTTTTTTAAAGGTGAATAATTAGAAACAAGTGGGTTCTTGAGTAGCCTTTCTGAGCCTTGTTAAAACAGGACTAACTGGCAAATGAACAGATTGCTTTTTATTGTAGTTCTGTTTGATCCTTTTTAGAATGCTTCTTTCAGCTTTAGCTTGTGAAATTAAATTAGCAGATTGTAGCAGGCTTTTATTTTTCTTTTAAGAACTAGATTGGAAAAGTAGCAGTATGGGAAGGTAAGTCCTGATAAATACCCACAAATGTTCGTGTGGAATGTTTGACTTGTTTACTGGGCCCCCTAATGCAAAGCCATACTTTAGTACAAATTGGGTTCAGAGTTCTTCTGGCCTCTCTCCATACTGTCTGTGTCATCTGCATAGTTGGTGGCTTGTATAGGAACAGTGCCCATTATTAATCAAAAATCTATACTATTTTTGCATGTTGACACCTAGTAATTGTTTAAAACAAGGTAGCTAACTTGTTTTTTTAAAACAAATGATAGGTGTGGCCTACCATTTACTTCAGCCTGTAAATGCATCTTCCATGTAGCCTTCTTTCGACCTGGCAAGATGGTCATCTGGGAGATGACATGGTAGGAAAAATCCTAAAGAAGAGATAGCTCTGCCCAGCTTATGTTCTGTCTTTTACTTAATCACAATTCAGGAGATCTTGTCTGTGTGGCCTGAAGAGTGGTTTTTAAGAGTGGTATTGCAGTGATCTGGTTAATTTTCATTACAGGAAATGCTGTTTTACCTTGTTCTCTAAATTCAGTTTTCTAAAACATTGTATTTCTTGTCTGGGTAAGCTCTTTGGTTGTTGTTGTTGTTTTTTGTTTTGTTTTGTTTTGTTTTGTTTTGTTTTTGAGATAGCCCTGGCTGTCCTGGGGAACTCACTCTGTAGCCCAGGCTAGTCTCAAACTCAGAGATCCACCTGCCTCTAACTCCCAAGTGCTGGGATTAAAGGCATGCTACAGCACTCCCGGAATGTCTGGTAAGCTCTGATGACTGACCTAATTAGGTTTCCATTTCTGTCATAAAGACTATAATCAAAAGCAACTTGGGGAGGAATGGGTATATTTGGCATATATACATCCCAGTCATAGTCCATCATGGAGAGAAACCAACATAGGTACTCTGGCAGGACAGGAACCTGCAGGCAGCAACTGCAGCAGAGGCTTTGGAGGAAGCCTGCTCCCCATGGATCACTCAGCTTGTTTTTTTGGTATACCCCAGGGCCACCTGCCCAGGGTTGACACCACTCATGGTAGGCTTGGCCCTAACTCATTAATCAAAATGTCCCATATACTTGCCTACAGGGGCCCCTTTACATTTGGGGTTTCCTCGTAAATGACCCAGCATGTGTCCAGTTGATGAAAACAGTCAGCAAGAATAGTGACTCTATTCCTGTATCAACGATTTAATTCGCATGGGAAGGTGTTTTAAATACAGACTTAATTCTTTACTGTCCAAATTTTACTAGTGTAGTGGTTTTACTAAATCTATCTTTTTCCACAAACATCCATAATGAGCAAGTCAGTCCTGAGTGCCTTGTTTCCATTACTGGTGTCTTTTCCACAAGTTGTCTGGGGTTCCCCTTTCCTTCTCTATCCACTCTGTCACCCAGGCTTTTGGTTCTTTGCCTCAGGCTTGTAATTCTGTCCAGTGGCTTACATTTATTTTGCCACCACCTTCTTCATTCCTCAACTATGGCTAGAGTCTCTTTAGACTTGTGACTCTAGTGTGGCCAGGCATTGGGAGTTGAGGAGGGGAGACTTGAAAGTCCACTTTGTAGAGTCAGAAGCTAAACCAGGGACCAGCACAGAAGGATGTTTGCTTGGAAATGTGTTAAGAGTGTTCACAGAAGGTATCAGTCCTTAGTTGTGTTGTAAGTAGAAGGAAGCCAGTGGTCCCAGAGCAGGGAGTGGCCTGTCCTTTCTTGCCTTGTCCCTAGCAGTTATGTTGGGTGCTGTGTCTATCTGCAAGTCCCCTCAACCTACTGTTTTTGTCTGCAGTCAGCCATCCTAGGAAAACCCCCTCCCAATCTTGTGTGAGGAATGACTTGATTTTCTTACTACTTTGATTTTATGAGCCTTTCTTTCAAATGCTAGCCCTTAGGCTAGAAGGAGTGCATTTGATGCTTTGTCCATTCCATGCTGCTTTGCATTCAGAGAAAGATCTGGTGAGGTTCTTTCTAATCACCCAGGGTCCTCACAGATAGCTTTACACAGGGCGGTCCACTTTGTTGTCTACTAAAATGGAGAGATAATTGAGTATTTATGCTTGGCTGTATGATTAGAAATCCAAGTAAAAGGAGGGCCTCTCTATTTGACCCTCCCTTTCCTAGAACCCAGTATGTAGACAAGGCTAGCCTTGAATTCACAGAGATCCTCCTGCCTCTGACCTCCTGCTTCTGCTGGGATTAAAGGTGTGCACCACCATGCCCAGCTTTTTATGCTGCTCTTGGTCCTCATCCCTCCCCTTTTGCATCCTGAATCTTAAGAAGTAGGTTGTTTTCTCTTCCTTTAAGTGTGAGTGTTCTAGTTACTGTCCAGCCTTCTTCCTTTTTTCTATTCTTTGTTTTTTGTTTTAGTTTTTGTTTTTTAAGAAGAGTCACTACTAATTATGTGTATCCGGAGCTTCTCTTGAACCATGAGTATTCAGTTGTAGTCAGCCAAAATTTTGCAGAATCTTTGAAATAATAGTGTTTATTTCTGTGCAGATGCTGCACAGAAAATAAAGAACCAGATCCTGGGACACTGGTCCTTCAGCTACTAGGAGCAGGGCTGGGTAGCACTTGTCAAAAGTGTACATTTGCCACACCTGATCAGAGCTATAGTTCTTTGTTTTCCCCTGAGCTTTGGGACTGGCAGGCATTCCTTCAGGAGAAATGGTTACTTCTGTATCTGTTAGGGTTTGAGTCTAGATATTTCTCTCAACATGGTTTAGTGGCCCTGGAGGTTTGTTGTTGTGGTATTTAAGTCTGGGTTTCCACATAGTTTGTCTTGTCAGTAGCGGTTAACTGATTAACTTGCTTTATCTCTGCCCCTCCACCATTCTACCTTTATAATAAGCCTTTCATTGCTTTTCATCATGGTCTTATTTCTGAGATAGTACCAAATATCTGACAAAGTTCCCTAAACAAAATTATTGTTGTGGAAACCTGTACATCTGCAGCTTTGTGCACATCTGTATGCTGACCTTACTTACCTGTGACCTTCAGTGTGAGTTTCCGTAACAGAATCCTGTCCTCGCCTAGGCCTGCTCTTCCCCCAGTCTTGCCATACAATTAATGATACCTGGTTAGTTCAAGTGCAAAGCCCTGAGTCACCCTTGATTCCTGTCCACCTCTCATTCCCTGTATCCAAGCACTGTAGGCACACACTTAAGGATGGGTTAGACTTTGAACTGTCTCCGTGGCACCTCTGTGGTGAACTGCCTTCTGTAGTAGGGTTACCCAATGTCTTGCTAATTGGTCTCGCTGTTTCTGCTCCTGCCTTAGTACCCACTCCCCACCCCAGACTACTTAAACCCTTCCTGAGTGAGTGAATGCCGCCCTATAGTCCAGAGGAGGGGAAGCTCAGCATAACCTTGCTGTCTGTGTCTTGGCACTTGCTTCTTTTACTAACACTTTGCCCCTCCCAGGTCTGTAGTGTGTTGCAGCCTCTACTCAGAGCATCCTTCTCTAGGCAGAGGTGAGCACATATCCTTTGTTTTTTTCTGGTCACCTTAGAGAAGCCGTTTTCCCTTCCTTCCCTCGTTTGTGCTTGTTCTGCCTGTCTGCCTGAGAGCAGCCTCTGGCACCAGGCTGGTGTGCAGATACTTGTAATGAGTAAGCTGTGCTTGTGTTTGGTTTACTAGCACCAGTCTCCTGCTTTCTACCCATAATGGCTCAAGATTTGCTACTGTTTCAGATGCCAAAATGGTTTGGTAGGTTGCACAGGTGTAAATTCTGGAGTTAGTGCTTTATTTTCTAGTTGGAAAGGTCTGGAATCTGATTCTTTGTTTCATTCTTCTCTTTTGCATGTTTTCTTCATATGGCTGATTGTGGTTTAGTCCTGGACACGATGGTGCGTGGAATGATAGTCAGCTACAAGAAATGGCCCAGTTGAGGATGAAACACCAGGAAGAGCTGACTGAACTGCACAAGAAGCGTGGGGAGGTAAAGAAAGGCCCTCTGTTCTTACAGGACCCTCTGGAAAGAGGCAGAAAAACAGTCACTTAACTGACACTTTGCAGTAATCTGATCTAATTTGGCATTACAAATGCTCCACGAGGCAGGGGGTCAGGTGGGAGGTGGAGGGGGCCAGGTTAGAGGAAACCATCAAGCAACATGAAGCCTATTAACAGGAGGTGAGTCAAAGCCAGATTACTGCTCTTAGCAGCATAGGAGAAACAGTAGGAAAATCAAAGAGAAAAATATTTACTGTGTGATTCTGTAAAGGTCTTCCTGACCATCAGCTTTTAAGTGTGACCCCTCAAATAGAGTCACTGAGGGTGGGTGCTTTACCTTCTTACATAAGACAGCAGTAGATGAGAAAATGCCTTGACTGTGTTCAGCTGGCTCAGTTACAAGGTAAAAGGGTAGACAGTGTCCTGCAGCACAAACTTGAAGCCAACAAAGAAGTAAGAGGCAGCAGACAGCCCCCAAAGGCCCTCTGCCTGCTTTGCAGCCATCTCCTTTTTTCCTGTTTAACTTTACCTACCCACAGGTACTTCTTTCTTAAAAATTAAGAAAACAGTATCCCGTTAAGTAGCTTGTGGTTGAGAGTGAGTCAAAAGTCTCTTATTTATGAAAGTCTTCTTTAACTTCCAGTTAGCTCAGCTGGTGATTGACCTGAATAACCAAATGCAGCAGAAGGACAGGGAAATGCAGATGAATGAAGCAAAGTAAGTAGAGACCGCATCTTCTGGGGCCTGGCTCTTGGTCACACATTGGTTGTGCTGTACTCTGAGCAGGGCTGGTGGCCACGTTGCTTTCAGGAAGAATTTTAATGCAGTGCTTGCAATCTGGGGCTCTTCTAAGAAAAGCAAGGGCAGTGCCTTGGCCTCCTAGATGCAGGACATCTGCCTAAGGAAGTAATGATGGCCCTTGCAAGTGAATGTTACAGAGGCATTCTCAGTTCTCCTTGGCCACTGTGTGTGGTCACCAGTGTCCAAGCACACATCTGTTGGGGTGGTGGAAGATATGTTTTTGAGCAGAAAGATTATGAACTTAACAAGAATTCTGACAGACAAGAGAAACAGACTCAGACCTAGTGCCTTAGAGCTGTGGAGAGAGAGGTCCTTGCAAGGCCCTTTGCCACTTGGGAAATGCCTAGAGCTTCCCCTTGCCTCAGGTCCTGTTTTCCCAAAAGTAGCTGTTACTGGCTAATTGTGGTCAGTAGGCACTTTGTCCTGTGTGTTTGCTAATAGAACTGCATACCAAGGAGCTAAATGGGCAGGTATGATGGCCCATGTTCTCACTGCTCCTTACTCAGGCCCACCTAGGTGGCACTTGGCTATTTGCTCTGGCTGTGGTTACATGGCTCCGATGAGGGAGAGCTCCTCTCAAATTGTACTTTCAGAATTGCAGAGTGTTTACAGACCATCTCTGACCTGGAGACAGAGTGCCTGGACCTGCGCACCAAACTGCAGGACCTCGAGATAGCCAACCAGACCCTGAAGGATGAGTATGATGCCCTGCAGATTACTTTTACTGCCCTAGAGGAGAAGCTGAGGAAAACTACTGAGGAGAACCAGGAGCTGGTCACCAGGTGGATGGCTGAGAAGGCCCAGGAAGCCAATCGCCTTAATGCAGAAAATGAGAAGGACTCCAGGTAGGATGTATATTGCAGTTAGTGGGCTCGGGGTTAGTGGAGCAGAACCTGGTTCTTTGGGGGAGAAACATGGTCGGCAGTTATCAGTGTGGTGGAGGTGGTGGAGGAGTCATGAACCAGAAAACACTAGCTAAATTAGAAATTCTGGAATCGGAGAAATTTGCATTTGTTAAGAACATTTGCAGCTGAGCAGAGGGATAGACTGTTTGGGACATACTGTATTTCAAAATACATGCTATTCTAGTAGCATGTCCTTGTTGCGTGTTCCCGCTCCTACCTCCCAATTTTGTGAAGCTATTCAGACCTGGACAAAAATTGTGTTTCTGTTAGTACGTAAGAAGACTATAGTTTAATCTTGGGGATTAAAAATTGGAATTCCAGGCTGGAGAGATGGCTTAGCGCTTAAGAGTATTGTCTACTGTACAAGGAGACCCAGGCTCAAAGTGCAGCACCCACAATGCAGCTCACAGCTGTCTGTAACTTCAATTCCAGGGGATCTGACAGCCTCACACAGACATGCATGCAGTCAGAACACCAATAAAATAAATATAAATAAAAATAAATAAGTCTAAAAGTGAAATTCCTAGATCATCATCTTTTAATACAGTGAAGTCTGGTTAAGATTTATGCCAGGAATTAAAAGATGAGTCACTGGTGTGTCAGTTAAATGCATTACACTGAATAAGGAATTTATAACCATTTCCACAAAGGCCTGATAAAAACCCCATAAATTGAGGACATCGACAACAAAGCTTTTGAAAAGAACACCTGTCTGACGAGCATCTAATACTTGTTTTAATAGGGAAGCCTCCCATCTACATAGTAGGAACTTGTATCTGTGTGACAAGACATGCAGAAATTTAGAACATACATGTATGCATATGTAGGTGCTGATGGTATATTCATGGTCAAGGTTCACTGTTACACATACTTCGATTTAGACAGCAAGACCAAGGCCACACTTAAATAAATCTATCTGGAAAATCGCCATATAAGTCCTAAGGACTAATGGTTAGTGCCTGCCCTGCCATGTCGCATACTCACATTAGTGGAAATATGAAGTCCTAAAGGTCAAGTTAGAAAACAAATGAGTGCTGATTTTTTTTTTTTTTCATTTTTAATGATAGAAACGAAAATATACCTAAAATCGAAGCTTCTGGAAAAACCATTTGTTCTTCCCTGTCTTGTATCGTTCCTCAAATTTGACCTTGGCCTCCTGCCTGGCCTTGTGTTTCAGAGCTGGGTCTCTAAAGACATCCTTGTTGACAACAGTTTTGTCCAAGGGGATGTCCACAGAGTACCTCGTGGGCATGAGGTGATTGTAGTTATAAACTTTCACAAAGGACTTGATCTTTGATTTCTTGGCGATCTTCTTCTTGCCCATGGCAGCTGTCACTTTTCGGGGATAACGGTCGATTCTGGCCACCAGGGCATGGCTGTAAGGGCGGTCTGAGGTGCCATCATCAATATTCTTCACGATGACGGCTTTGCGTCCGGAGTAGCGTCCGGCCAGGACCAGCATCACTTTCCCGGGTTTCATGAACTTGCCCATTTCGACAGCAGGCAGCTGGCACCCAGCGGAAAGGCGAGTGCTGATTATTTTATGTAGAGTTCCTAAATAGAAATATTAAAGGGTGACAGTAAAGTTGTTGGATTTCTTAATATCCACGAACAGGGAGTTAAGAAATATTCTTACATTTCATTACTGTGTGCATGTTCTGTGTGCTCACACACCGGATAAGGGAAAGCACATACCAGGGTGCACGTGTGGAAGTTAGAGAGCGCCTTTGTGGAGTCAGGTTCTCTTTCATGTGGTGTCAGGAACAATACTCATCTAATCAGACTTACACAGCAATCACCTTTATTCACTAGGCCAGAACTGCTCTTTTAAAATAATGTGTTCTTTGTGCAGTCATTAGGAAGAGAGGTATGACAAGTAGCAGTGCTGTGGCACGCAAAGATGACAGAAAGGTTTGCCAGGAAGCAAGTGTTCTGGAAGCAGATGGCACCATCTGCTGGGGACTGCTTTACCTAGCCCTTCATCCCAAGGAAGTAAGACAACTCATTCACAAATGGTTGCTCAGGATGGTACATTATTCGTAGTGAAAAAATTAGGTCCTCACATTTATGTTGTGATTTAAGACATTTACGATTATGTATTTTAGAGTTTTTTTTGTTGTTGTTTGCTTTGGTTGTTTTTTATCTATGTATTTTATTTCTATGTGCTCTGTCTGCATGTATGCCTACACACCAGAAGTACTCTTAACTGCTGAACATTCTCTCCAGCCCTGGTTTTTTGAGATTGTCTTTCTGTGTAGTGCTGGCTGTCCTGGAACTAGCTTTATAGGCCAGGCTTTGCTCTGCCTTCCAGGTGCTGAGATTAAAGGTGTGCACCACCACACCCAGCTTTAACATTATATGTTTGAGGAGCAATTCATACCACCAAGAATTTGAGATTACAAAACTAGAAATATGAAACAAAATGTTCTGCTTTTACTTGGAGTGGTGAGATGCTGTGGGGTTTTTTGGTTTGTTTGTTTGCTTTCTTATTTGTTTCTCGTTTTTATATTTTCTACCTTTCTAAAGTTTTGTTTTGCAACTAGGGACTAAACTTATGGTCTTACACATGTTGGGCAGCTGCCACACTCACCGCTGAAACTTGTATTAAGAAAAAAATGAGCTTTCCTTTGCATCGTTGCTATGTTTCATGTGTATTTCTATTTATTAAGTAGTTAAGCTTGTGCCTTAGCTTTCTTGTGCACAGTGAGGGTCATGAGGACCCCAGGGGATCTGGAAGTGGCATTATGTGACTGCAGGTGTGGACCCTGAAAAGTGAGTTGTATAGAAGTGTGGCCCCCTGCTGTGCCCTTTCTGCTAGCCTTGACTTGGTATTATCTTTCTCTTCTAGCAGCGTTGGTTGGCTTGGGTTGTTACAGTGCACACTGACTGGGGATGGTTGTGCCTGTTCTGCCTCCATAGTAAATTATCTGTCTCCAGAGCCCAGCACAATAGTTGCTGTAAAAGATGCATTCAGAGGCCATCCAGACTATCAAAGAAGCATAGTCTGAATGGATTCTAGGCTGGAGAAAGAAGAGGCCTCAGGGTCCACTGGCAACTTCCTTCCCTGTAGAATACTGTTACACCCTGAGTCCAGGTAGCTTTCAGCTATGAGAATGTTTTGATAAATTATATTTTTGTGTGTCTTGTTAAACTTAATTTTGTTTTTCCTTTTGTTTTAAAGATTTATTTACTTATTATGTATATAGTGTAATATATCTGGGCACAGGGTCTTTTCTGAGACTGACACTCAACCAAGGACCATCTATGGATATAACCTAGAACTTCTGCTCGGATGTGGCCTGTGGTAGCTCAGTAACCAAGTAGTTTTCCAAAGTAAGGGGAACACGGACTATTTCTAATAGGATCTCAAGGGCAGGCTGTTTGACCCCCACCCCAGGGGAGGAGCAGTCTGTTAGGCCACAGAGGAGGACTTTGCAGCCAGCCCTGAAGATACCTGATAAAACAGGGTCAGATGAAAGGGGAGGAGGTCCTCCCCTATCAGGGGACTTGGAAAGGGGCAGGGAGGAGACCAGGGAGGGAGTGTGGGGTTGGGGAGGGAATGAGGGAACGGGATACAGCTGGGACACAGAGTTAACAAAATGTAACTAAAACGAAAAATAAAATAAAAATAAAAAAATAAAAAAAATAAAAAAAATAAAAAAAAAAGATTTATTTACTTATTATGTATATAGTGTTCTGCCTGCATGTATGCCTGTGGGCCAGAAGAGGGCACCAGATCTTATAGATGGTTGTGAGCTACAATGTGGTTTCTGGGAATTAAACTCGGGGCCTTTGGAGGAGCAGCCAGTGCCCTTAACCTCTGAGCCATCTCTCCAGGCCTTAAACTTAATTTTCATCCTTTACAGAAGTTAAAAATACAAGGCAACCTTCAGGCTATAGCCTTGTTCCTTTCCAAGATTCTGATAAGCCATTTTAGAGGGCTTTTTCTACATTAAAGAATTTTCATTAGGGGAGTGAGCTTAAAAGAAATTTCAAACATTTCTTTATTGTAGCTCAAAAGCAATGTTAGGCAGACCTCCACCATCATGGGTCACATGCACGCTCCCGGGAAGGGCCTGTCCCAGTCGGCGCTGCCCTACCACTGTAGCGTCCCCACGTGACTGAAGTTGACGTCTGACGACGTGAAGGAACAGATTTACAAACTGGCCAAGAAAGGCCTGACTCCCTCCCAGATAGGTGTAATCCTGAGGGACTCCCATGGTGTGGCACAGGTCTGTTTTGTGACTGGTAATAAAATCTTGAGAATCCTTAAGTCCAAAGGCCTTGCCCCTGACCTCCCTGAGGAGCTCTACCATTTGATTAAGAAAGCCGTTGCTGTCCGAAAGCATCTTGAGAGAAACAGAAAGGATAAGGATGCTAAATTCCGCTTGATTCTGATAGCACAATTCACCGGTTGGCTCGTTACTATAAGACTAAGTGGGTCCTCCCACCCAATTGGAAATACGAGTCATCCACAGCCTCTGCTCTAGTGGCATAAATTCTCTTGTATACACCAGCAATAAAATCACTTTGAATTTAAAAAAAAAAAAAAAAAAAGCAATGTTAGGAGTCCAGCAGGACAGATTAACACTCAAAAGACACCTGGTGCCAAGAGTGACAGCCTGAGTTTGCCCCCTGGTGGCCAGCATGGTGGGAGAAGAACCAACTCCTGCAAGTTCTCTGTCCTCAACATATGAACCCCCTGCAGTTCCCCATGTGTAGACACACAGGTGTGAGGGTAAGATCATTCACAGGTAAAATTGCCAGGGACGTGAGGAGACCACCTTGGCTAAAAAGTAGGGGTTCCTAAATTTAAGCCTTGGAAAGGGGAGACATGATTCTGAGAGGCTTGTCGAAGCCAAGACTCTGCCGGGTCTTAGTTACAGTCCTGTATACTTGGGCAGTCCAGAGATTTCAGGGTACCTTGCTTGGGAACAGTGATACAGTTGTCAGTAGGTGTCAGTAGGTCCCACATCTGCAGACTGTATATAATTGTTTGCATTTCCTCGGGCATCCTAAGTCATCTAGGGATAATGGTAGGATGTGCATAAATTGTGGGCAAGAACTGTGCTGTTGTATTTAAGACTTGAGCTTCTGCAGACTATAATGGCCATTGGGTTTTTTCTTATTTTTGTGTTATGGCTGGGTTAATAGATAATTCACTACAGGAAGGTAAGTCATAGCCATAACTAGCTCTGGGATCAACTTGAAGCACCTTTTTGTCCTCAGCAGCCCTGAGTCTTTGCAGGCCAGTTTTCTTTGGTGAGATAGTGTGCATTTGCCACAGTTCACAGGTGGCTCCCATAAAGGGGTTTAACTCAGATCATTATTAGGCTTGGTGGCACATACCTTTTCACTGACCCTGGAGCCTTTTTATAATGGGGAATTTCATCAGTATTTAGGGTGGGTATTTAGATGTCTTTTGCCATCTTAGCTGCTATATGAAAAGTCTTAAACCTTCCTTTGTGTGGGGAGGGGCAGGAGGCATGCTCAGGATGTAGTGCTCTGTGACTGTGTTGCTGCTTTGAAATAGACTTGCTCACTTGAACCCACTGAAGTGTGGCTGGCACTGAGCACCAGACACCACTGGGGTTATAGGCATGCAGCCATGCTGGGCCTTTAATATAGATGTTGGAGTCTGAACTCTGGTCCTTGTGCTTGTGGCAGTGAGTGCTCTTACCCACTGAGCCATCTCTCCAGTCCCGAACAGAACATTCAGATACGCCTTTAGTACTAGAAATTTGTTGAAAGTGAAAGCTGGTGCTTTGCTAAGCAGGTATCAATTTACGTTTTGATGTTTGTTTGTTTTTTGCAAACAGGAGGCGTCAAGCACGGTTGCAGAAAGAGCTTGCAGAGGCAGCAAAGGAACCGCTACCTGTTGAACAGTAAGTACAGAGAAGTTCATCAGAACTGTGCCCTTAATGACTTGTTTTGTGGCTTTATTTCTTTAAAAGCTAGAAAAGTTTTTATTATTATGAGGATTGGAGCTATAGCTGCAACCTGAAGTTAAATATTAAAGACAGAAAATAAAAACACATTATATTTCCACCACTGAAAAGGTGGCATGCACACAACCATATCTCTTAATTTTTCTCTGGTGGCTTCTTGTTGCACTTAGATTTCAAACCAGTAGTATATATTGACTTAGGACTTTCAGTTATATCACCAAATTACTTTCCAAGAACTTTTTGTTGACAGCAGTCAGCTGATTGTGACGAACTTCCTGCACACAGAGCCGCCTTACTGTTTCCTGTAAACACTTGGATCACTGGCCTTCCTCTCATTAGACCTGTGGTCATGTAACATGGGCTGTGGTTTCGTATCTTATTTTTGTCAGTGACCTTAGTGGAAGTTTGTCCAATTTTGAGGCATAGGTCAGGTCAGCAGTTTATTTGCAAAAAGAAATGAAATGGAATCAATTCTCCCTAGTCCACCAGCTAATGGAAATGGAGAGCCTGGTACTGGTAGCTCTGTGCTAAGTGATGGTTATTTCCATAACAATCCTCTCTGCTCTGATTCAAAATGGGTGTTCTGCTGGAATATGTTAGCTTCAGAGTTATGACCTTCTGTTACTTAAATGTGTATTGATTGCTGGGGCTGAGAGATGCTCAGCAGTTTAAAGCATTTGTTGCTTTTGCAGAGCACCTGGGTTCAGCACCCACATGGTGGCTCATAGCCACCTGTGTATCTCCAGTTATGGGGCATCCAATGCCCTCTTCTAACCTCCCCAGGTACCCAGTGTGGTGCATATATACATGCAGGCCAAACACACATAAATAAACTTAATTTAAAAAAAAATAAATTTTGCTGCTTTCTTTTAAGTAGAGTAGTTTAAAATACAAGCCATATACCTCCCCGCAAAAGAAATGAGAGTTCTCATGCTAAACCTTTGCTCTAGAAGGAGAGAATATGAATGTATGTGTGTGTCCTGACCTCAATGGAGAAAACTGGTCTTGGTGTGATTTTTTTTTTTTTTAAACCCGAAAAGTTAATAGATAAGCCACCTAAAAATAAGATTTGGTTCCTTTAAAAATTTAAAAAAAAAAAAAGGTCATGCCTTTGTCCCTTGTTTGAGGGTGTAACTGGGTGACACAAGTAAGAAGGAGCTAGGATCTCACATGGAAAGGCAAGAGTTGCTATAGAGGTTTTCAGAGAAATTTATGTTTTGGGGACAGGGTGATAAGTTGGCAGAAACTGTTACTTTTGGGGGTGTGGGCCTATGTACAAGTTCATGTTGTTCCTCTTGCCATCTTTCTCCTGTGGCTCTTGAACTCTAGGTCTACAAAAGCTAGCCAAGTAGGAAATCAAGCCTAGCCTTGTTTTTATTCTCTTCTATACCCCAGCCAAGAGTGTGAGGCAGTAATCCTAGGGTAAATAAGGGAAAATAAATTTACTTAGTCATGGTTTAACTTGCTTGGCATAACAGGTTCTTAGTTATATATGCTTATAATCCAAGTAATCATGGAAAGGAAAAAAAAATTAGCTTTCAAATTCTTAAGAATCCAATCAGTAGGTGGTGAGCTCTTAATTTTTTAAGCTATTGTTTTTCTGTGAAGATTGCAATCCAATAGATCATTAAGACCAAAATAATTACTTGCCTTCTCCATAATCAGGAAAGAATTACCTATGAGAATGTGTAGGAAGAGGACTTAGAGGTGCCTGGCATGGCTGGGATAAACAACAGAAAGGAGCATGTTAACAAATACCACAGGAAGTGTGCAGGCTCTCCAGCCATCAGAAGTACATTTGTTTAAGTTTTTCTTTTGGAAAGTTATTCCGGTTGGCATTATTGGTTTTGAATAGGTAAAACGGTTTATGTTTCTCAAACATGATATAGTTCCCCTTGCTCATTTACCATCACTTTGCAACAAAGTCTCAGAGAGTCCATCACTAGAATGTGATACTGGCCTTTGCAGAGCTCCTGTTGGAGACAGTGATAGATTCTCTCTCATTTGTTTGCAGAGATGATGACATTGAAGTCATTGTGGATGAGACCTCAGATCACACAGAAGAGACATCTCCTGTTCGAGCCATCAGCAGAGCAGCTACGTGAGTGGTCCAGCTGGGTGGGGAAAGGCAAGCTCCAGCATCAGTGTGACTTTGATTTGTGGACATGACATGAGTAGTCAGATGTACTGAGTCCCCAAGCCTCTTCCACCCCACAGAGAGGAGAGTGGGAGGGAAATACAGTACAAGTGGCCTGGCATTCCTAACACAAACGTGTGTAATAGCCTCCTGAGAGATGTGTGAACCATTAAACTTTTATATGCATGGTGATTGTCCAGATCCCAGGACACAAGTGTAGACACTGTAGGATTTTGCTTAAATAGGCTGAAAGACTGCATGGGATTTATCATTTACACCCAGAAGTTTAGGTGAGTTAGGCAGACTCCTTGTCATATTCGGGAACATCAGGTTAATCCAGGGGAGCCGTGTTTCTTGAGACTGTGGGCTGGGTTCTACCTTCTACCTCCTTAATATTTTCTGGTGGTTCAAATGCTGTGTTGAATTTGTCTTGGCTGGGATTTGGGAACAAAAAGTCTATTCCCAGCTACATATGTTTAGGGGCTGTTTTGATTTGGGGGCAAAACGTTTCTAAGGTTTAAACCTATCCTCCCCTCCTCTTTAGTAAGCGACTCTCGCAGCCTGCTGGAGGCCTTCTGGATTCTATCACTAATATCTTTGGGTAGGTTAGAAGACCTTCACCTTTCCTTTTAAAAATGTATGAATATACCTAAGCATATGTATGTGATGTATTACTTTTAATGTACACCAGAATTTCAGTGGTGCCAAGAACATGGATGCCTTAATTCAGCTTGTCATTTAGCTTCTTCTTCTTTTCTGCTACTTCCTTTCTCTTTATCTTGCTGCGAGCTGATCTATGGCCTTTCCCTTTAGTCTGTCCGAATCTCCCCTTTTGGGACACCATTCTTCTTCTGATGCTGCCAGGTGAAAATATTACCTCTCTCAACCCAGCATGTGAGTGTGGGTTATTGATAATCGTGCTGATCACGCTGTGCTGCCCGTAATCATCGATGTCTACACGCTAACCAGGATGCTTTGCATGCTCCTAGGAATGAATGCTGGAGCCCTTGAGCAGGGCAGTCAGGTTAAGCTTCGTGCGGTTATCATGCTCCTGATGCTCTTCCTCTTAGCATGTGTTTGACTCTGCCATGACCACAGTGGAAAAGCCGAAGGTAGTGGTAATTAGGAGTGCCAGAGGTTCTCCTCTGTGCCAGCTGGTGTGTAGGTTGAGAACATTTTACCTCAGTTTACTGACAGGGCAAGTGACTTTTGTTCAAGACTGCTTCAGTGCTGAGTTTTAGAGCCCATGAGATAGCAAAAAAAAAAAAAAAGAAAAAAAAGTGTGTGCTAACTTTTGTCATTGTAGTGAAATGCTATGAATCTTGAATTTTGGAGGGTCTAGAAAGACAACAGCTGTTATCACAGGCACACTGCTTACCCAAGGTCATTGTTGAGGCCTGTCTGGCAGTTTGGTAGACACTGATCCTGTACAGTTTTGTATAACGTCTGCCTTTGTATTGTTCCTTAGGAGACGTTCTGTCTCTTCCATCCCAGTCCCCCAGGACAGTGTGGATACTCATCCTGCTTCTGGTAAAGATGTGAGAGTCCCAACTACTGCCTTGTATGTCTTTGTAAGTATGCTTTGTACCCAGAGCCTTCTGCACCTGGGATGGTAGCAGGATTTGAAACTGAAGGGTCCTTTGGGGCTGCATCTAGACCTTGCATTGCTAACCTGCTTTGACCTGCCAGCCTTGTGACCTGTGAGGAATTAGGGTGTGTTGTGCTTAGCTTTACCGCCCAGAATCTGTTAGAGATAATTTCTCTAGTAATAGGCAAATGTCTGAGAGGATTGACTTGAACAGTGGAACAAGACAAAACTTAGGGATGGAGAGAAAAACTGTAATTTGTGCAGTTTTCACTGGGTCGCTGCAGTTTAAGGTGAATTTTTTGACAGAGGCACCAAAGTTAAAAAGTGGGAAGCTAGAGAAAAGACTCAATGATTAAGAGAGCTGGCTGCTCTTCCAGAGGATCCGAGTTTGATTTCTAGCACCCACATGGGCAGCTTACAACTATTTATAACTTCAGTTCCAGCAGATCCAAGGTCCTCTTCTGGCCTCCATGGGCACCAGCCGTAAACATGGTGCACAAACATTCATGCATACGAAACACTCATATACAGAGCTGAGCATGGTGGCACACACCTTTAATCCCAGCACTTGAGAGGCAGAAGCAGGTGGATCTTTGTGAGTTCAAGTCTAGCCTGGTCTCCAAAGTGAGTCTAGGACAGCCAGGGCTACAGAGAAAAACACTCTCTCACACACACACTGACACATAAAATTAAAAACTAAAGTCTGCCAGGGCAGATACTAGTTTCATAAATCAAGCTGCATCTGGATAACTTCCAACCACTAAGAGCCTATGATTGGGATCAGGACATAACACTGGACAGAAAATACTGTAGGACCTGGGATTCTAAGATAGGTTCTGGCAAGAACAGTTAACCTCAGTCCCAGTTGAGGTAGAGAACAGAAATTGTTCTAGCCTTATAAAATGTGGTCTACCTTGCTCAAAGCTTTCAGAACAGTGGGGAGGCAGAGAGACATCATGCCTTACAGTGCCTAGGGTTGGTTAAGGTGGGTTTGAGGGAGTGAGTGGGTCATGTGGCTCAAGTAGCCTACTTTCAATTAGTGCCTTAGAAATAGAAGGGCACCTGGGTGGTGGAGCCTCATTGGTAGTTGTTCTGACTGAGCCTGGGGCATTGAACGAGCCCTGCTTTGGGGGAGGAGTTGGACAGGGCAATGGCAGAGCCGTTCCCACCCTGCTCCTGTGACTCCATGTTGGGCTGAGCATCTTACAGAGGTCAATGATGATTGGTAAAAGGTCTGATTGCACTAAATGTCACAGCACCTTCCTTGCCCTCCACTCCCAGCAGCCCATTCTTTTCCTAGCACACTGAGGTCATGTGCATGGGACAGTGGGGCAGCTGATAATTCAGGATTCTGCCAGTGTGTGTTCCGAGAGTGAATGGTTCACAGCTGACTACTATCCAACAGAACCCTTCATACAGGAGTCTTGATGAGTGGCAGATGGATGTGACAGTGCATGATCTCAAGTTTTCAATCTGAGACCTCAGAAGAGAACATTTTTAAAAGAACTGCATGAGGTAAAAAGGTCAGGTCACTTACCAGATTTCCAGCAGTTGGACACGAGCAAGAAAGTGGACAGTCAAGTCACCAAAGTACTAATTGTGTCCCAGTCAGTTAGGGAGATGCTGTCTCCCCAGGCTATCTGGACTTGAAGCAAAACCTAGACATCAGCTATGTCTGTAAGTAGTTGTATATCCACCGTCATGTCTAGTAACATCACCTCACATTCTTTGTTCCCCTTTCCATGGGATGTTTTTACCTGTTCTCATTCTGAACATGGCTGCTCATCTGTATTAATCTTAGAAAATTTTTTGTGAAAGGGCTGGGCACAGTGGCAAATGCTTTTAATCCCATCACCCAGGAAGCAGAATCAAGAGAATCTATGAGTTAATTGATCCAGAATTTACAACCTATCTCAAAAAAGGAATTTCTGTATGAAGAACTTAATATTCTCCTAAAATAGCACTTTTATTGATCATTAATTTTTCAAGCATAATTTGGGTCATCAAAGTTTTTTGTGGTAAATAAACCAAAACTGCAGGAAGTTAAACAGACTCACAGTGTTAGGACTGGCCAAGAAAACTTTTGCTGGGGCTGCATAGATGGCTTAGTGGATGCAGGGGCTTGCTACAATCTGTGAGGACCTGTCTTATGTCCTTAGAACTCATCTAAAAAGCTGAATGGCTTTGTGCCTGAAAGCCCAGCACTGAGGATTAGAGAACAAAACTACAGGGTCTTGCTGACCACCAGCCTAGCTTTAAGTTCAGTGAGAACTTACTACTCCTCGTCTAGGAGTACTAAGACAGAGTGAGAAATCTCCACAAAAGAGCACATACAGTGCACACATGTATACACGCACAAGCATTCCTTAGGTAGCTGTATGCTATTGGGTGTACAGCATTTAATATTAGTGATAAGAGTAAATCTAGTAAGTATCTGGCACAAAAGAAGCAATTCAGAAGCTGGAAAGATGTCTCAGTATTTAGACATCTCTAACTACCAAGCTTTGCTGCTCTTTTACAGGACCTGAATTTGGTTCTGTCACTCTGCCTTCAAGGGATCTAATGCCCTCTTCTGGCCCACACATATACTTACACTCATAAATAAAAATAAATGTTAAAGAAAAAAAGCAATTCATTTCTCTTATTTTTAAGCTAGAGGATTAAATAAATCATGATTCTTAGGAATAAAATTAATGCAAAGACAAACTTTGGGCAATGTACATTAAGTGCTTTTTGTGGGGGGGAGAGGTACATCATTGTTTTTCCTGTCTGGCCTTGAACTTCTGGCAGTCTGTCTGCTGTCTGAGGGCTCAGAGAGAAATGTGTGCCACCACACCTGGTTGATTTTGAATACTTTTTGTTTAAGTGAATACAAACCAAACATGGTTGCAGACCCCTCCCTGTAACGCAAGTGCTCAGGAGGCTAAGACAAGAGGATTACAATTTTAGTTCGTGTTAACCTACACTTAACACAGTGGCATAGTACTGTATTCAGATGAATGGGTTTGTGCCACTGTAGCTGTAAAAATAAAAGGAAACTGGACTCTTAGGAGGCTTTTGGGGCAGAGTCCACTCAGTGTAACTTCAGCTCTAGTTAAGGTTGCATGTTTGGCCTCGGGTTAGGCACTGGAACTGTATCTGTGTCGTAGGTTCCTGGGTGATGATAATTGAGCTTGAAGGTCTATCTTGCAGGATGCACATGATGGGGAAGTCAATGCAGTGCAGTTCAGCCCAGGCTCCCGGTTATTGGCCACTGGAGGCATGGACCGGAGGGTTAAACTCTGGGAAGCATTTGGAGGTAAGAGCTGTGGTGTCTTTACAAGGAAGCTCTGGTGACATGAGTAGCCTTTTGCTTTGCTTTGAACTGTATTTTATTTTACTTTTATTATATTTAATTTTTAATTACATTTTGTTTTGGTGTTTATAGACAGGGTTTCTCTGTGTAGCTGTGGCTGTTCTGGAACTTACTCTGTAGACCAGGCTGTCTTCAAACTCAAATCTGCCTGCCTCTGCCTCCTGAGTGCTGAGACTACAGATACGTGCCACCACAGTGGGCCTTTGAATTACATTTTAATTTGTTTAATGTGCAAGTAGTAAAGTCATAACTAGTTGAGATCACATGACTGGAATTCATGCTGTTTGGTCTTTGAGACAGTCTTGCTATATGCATAGGTTAGCCTGGAACTCAGGGTTCTGTGTCTTCCCCAGGGCTGAGGTCAGAATCTCATGCTTTTAACCCCGAAGCCTTCTCTAGGCTCTAGAGCAAAGAGAAAGGCACGGGTTCCTGCTTTTGATGTTTGTTTGAGCAAGAGCAGTCGGTTGAACCTTTTGATCTGACTATAGTGATCTTTAGTGAGACATTGTACCTGTCTGCTCTAAATTTGATTTGCAGGAAAGTAGCTCAGTTAAACCCCTGAGTCTGTTGAAGCCTGTGAGAATGTCATGTTTTTCTCAGAGACTTCAGTTAGGACAGGCTGAATGACTCAAGTTAAGGAACTAAATCTTGGCAAGTGTGCTTTATAAAAACTAGTGAAGAGTTGCAGGTGTAGCGCAGCAGTAGAGCACTTGCCTCAGTATTAACTAAATAGCAACATATTTTGGGGATTAATTTTGGCCAGTAAAACACCTCAGAAGATGAGAAGAGTAAAGGGCTATTAAAGTGTTTTTGGTGAGAGAGAGAGTTATTGATAGTTGGCTGTCTTGATTGATAGGATTATAGATTCCAGCAAATTTTCAGGCCACAATGAAATGAAGATTACCAAAAACAGGAATAATTAAAATTTGGTCATTGGTTTCAGAAATGTTAGTTTCCATCAATAGTGATGAAACCTAAACATTGATACAGGAAATTCATGTGCCCCAAACTTGGAAACAACTTGTACAGCTTGGAAACATGCATGTGACATGCCTTAATTGGCATTGTTTCAGGATTCAGATTGCAGCAGGATTCCCCTCCTGTTTTCCTCTGTTTATTTTGTCTGATTCTGCAGTGCTGTAGGAAAGCTGCTGTTTGGTGTTACAGTTGACTTGCACTGTGCTTCACTGCCCCCTTTAGGTGCACTTACTAACTAGTTTTTTAATTTTGTTTCATGCAGATAAATGTGAACTTAAGGGCTCGCTGTCTGGTAGTAACGCAGGAATTACAAGCATTGAATTTGATAGTGCTGTAAGTACCTAATATCTATGATTTTATGTGGTTGATTTTGTTGTATTTTTGAGGCGGGATTTCTGTGTGTCCCTGGCTGTCCTAGAACTCACTATGTAGACCAGACTGGCTCACCTCTGCCTCCCAAGTGTGTACCACCATGCTGGCCAATTTTAGAGATTTTTTTAAAAAGTAATTTAAGATGTCTGATTCTAAAATTTAAAACAAAACAATAAAACCACAAGACTTCCATGTTCTGGGCAGTTTGAATCCACTCTCACTGAGGAAGTTAAAAGTAGACCAGAGACTTGGTTTCTACTTTTGGTTCTCACCATGTTCATCTGTTTCCTAGCCCCATTTGCCATGTTTACATGCATGATCCTAGGGGTCAGGGTACTGACTTCTCTCAAGAAATTCCCCTTTAAAAGAACCAGACTGGGGCTGGAGAGATGGCTCAGAGGTTAAGAGTGCTGGCTGCTCAATTCCCAGCAACAACATGGTGGCTCACATAATGAGATCTGGTGTACAGGTGTACATACAGACAGAACATTGTATATGTAGTAAGCAAACAAATAAATCTTTATAAAAAAAAAAAAAAAAAAGAACCAGATTGGCAAGGTAGCTCAGCAGGTAAAGGCACTGCTGTCAAGCCTGACAACCTGTATCAGATCCTTTGGATCCACATGGTGGAGAGAACTGACTCCTGATCTATACATACACAATAAATATATTTTAAAGAGAATGGCAAGAAAGGATTGAGTTGAAGGTCATGATATTAAGGTAATGGGCCTCTGGAGTGGCTTAGGGAACAAAGTAAGCCATTTGAGGCAGACCTCGAAGTCACATGCAGAGGGTAGACATTGTAAGTACAGGCATTGCAGGCAGAGGAAGCAGAGAGAAGAGCTGGAGCAGGACCAGTTCAGTAGCTGCTGAATAATGGTAGCTCCCTATTGCTCAAGAGTACTTACTGACTTGGTGGAACCTTTTCTTTTCTGAAATCCTCTGTGTCCTTGAAACATTTTGTTTCCTTTCTGGGAAAAGGTATTGTCCACATCTGCCACTCACAAAGCTGAGAACCTTATCTGAAAGGATGGGCACTGGCTAGGTATTAGTCATCTTTATGCCTCATGCAATAGTGCCTGGATATTGGGGAAATATAAGGAAGTAAGACTGGTTAGTTGGGTATGGGTCAGGAAATACGTTATGTCAAGGGTTTAGACAACCAGAAAGCCCTTCCAAGAGTCTTGAGAGGGTTTCTTGACAATTCTGGGGAGCAAACCTAGATGCACTGCACAAATGACTTACTATTGAGCCACCTCAGTTCCTGAGAAGTTTTGACAACCAGGTTTAGAATAAAGAGGCAGGTCTGAAGTGGCCCCTGAAAGCCCAGTAGGGCTTATGCAGTAGGACTCCAGAGGAAGGAGCAGAGCTAACACATGGAAGATGGGCAACCTCGAAGATGGTAGGAGATGAGTTACCAGGGAGTGAAGGACAAGGTAAGTGGGTGAGGGTGAGCTCTACTTTGAATTTGAGGTGTCTACTGTACTCATGGAAAGTCAAGTGAGTCCAGGAAGAAGGATAAGGCTCAGTCGAGGTAGTTGTCAGTACACTGTGGCTAGCTTAGAGGTGTAGTTGAAAGCATCAGGTCATGGACCGGATACCTGGGGAATTTGTGCTTTGTGAACTGAATTTTTCTAAAACTTTTTTTTTTTTTTTTTTTTTATTCTTGTAGGGAGCTTACCTCTTAGCAGCTTCAAATGATTTTGCAAGCCGAATCTGGACTGTAGATGATTATCGATTACGGGTAAGACCCAGTTGAGAAAGCTAGCATAATCTTCTAATTGCATGTGGCAATCAATGTGTGAAATGAAAAAAAAAGTTGACAGATGTTTAATTAATTAGGAGCTTTGTGCTTCCCTATGGAATTATATTTAATTTATGCTTTTCTCTAGGAAAATTTTTTCTTTGCACCCTTAATTTACCAAAGGTCTTATTTCAACATATTTTTCATGATAATCTTGGGACTCTTCGTATTTTTGGTTGCTTTTTTTTTTTTTAAAGACTTTTTTATTTATTATGTGTACAGTATTGTGCCTGCATGTGTGTCAGTAGGTCAGAAGAGGGCACCAGATCTCATTATAGATGGTTATGAGCCACCATGTGGTTGCTGGGAATTGAACTCAGGACCTCTGGAAGAGCAGGCAGTGCTCTTAACCACCTCTCCAGCCCTTGGTTGCTTTTTTAAAGATCTTATTTATAATTTATACAGTGTTCTGCCTACATGTGTGCCTGCACACCACTATAGATAGTTGTGAGCCACATGTGGATGTCTGGGAATTGAACTCAGGACCTCTGGAAGAGCAGTCAGTGCTCTTAAACTCTGAGCCATCTCTCCAGCCCCCTCTTTGTGTTCTTAAGAACCAGTTATATTTAATAATCTGTTTTAGCTTGACTTGTCAAGTTATAACACCAGCATGTGAATTGTGAATCTTAGGATTATAGAAATATGTGGATGACCTTAAACAGATGGTAAAGCTAGGAAACAGGAGACAGTTCTGAGAATAAGGTATCCGGCAGGAAGAAGTTTCACATAATCCTGAAAGGTAACACAGGAGGCATTTGGCATTGGTTGGACATTCTGAGTTTGACACAAGTTGCTTTGTATCTGCCCACACAAAGAATGGTGTGGTGTTAAGATGAGTATGTGAGTTTTACAGAGGGAGCCAGTTAGAGTGGTCCTTACTGCTAGTTTTGGTGGTCTCATTGAATGGCACAAGGATGGAGCAAGAGGATTCTTCAAAAGCAGTTAATTTACCACTTTACCTTTTCATTTTCCTAAGGAACTGTATAGCCAGGACCTGGAGGGTAATAATTCATGGTTCTCACTTGAAAGATGAATCAGTCGTAAACATGGAAAACATGAGCCTGGAAAGATGGGAGGTACACACTGTGAATAGTGAACAATCAGCTGTATGTGTCTGAGGGAGAACTGCAGCAGGAGACCACTGCAGCTAAACATGGAAGACGTTCCCAGCCAGTGCTGCGGGCTGCACAGTAGTCAGCCCTGTGGTCAGCTGTAATTTAAGAATTTTTTTTTCAGTTTTATTTTCATATTTACTTGCACGCATGTACCTTTGTCTGCATGGGTGTATGTATACAAATACAGGTACCGGTGGAGCCTAGAGGCTTCACAGGAAATTGAGAGACACACACACCCCTATTTTATTTTTTTAATCAGGATCTTTCTAAGTTATCTTGGCTGGCATGGAACTCATTATATGAACCAGGTTGGCCTCTACTTCGCAGCAGTCCTCCTGCCTCTTCCTCCTCAGTGCTATGATATGACACTATTTGCAGCTCTGTTCGTCTTTTATTGGGCATTTAAGATTGAGTGAATACTTCAAGGAGTTAGTTTCCTTAAAGAGAAAGTATTTCTTTGTGTTGGACATATTGTCAAGTTACAAGTGTGTTGTGTATTTCTTTTAATTGTCTGGGAACCCAGGTAGGGGAGGCAGATAGGACAGGCTCAGATATGGGATGAGGAGTACTAAGGTTGCACAGTTAAATAATACAATTAAAAATTTGAATTAAGGCCTATGCTTGTAGACTGAGGTCGAATAGTGCTGACCTACTATGGAAGGAGGGACCTGCAGGTTTCTTTATATTGTACCCTGGGAGGAAAAGAGGGGAAGTATTTGAGGTGACGTGAAGTAGTGGGTGGTGTTTTTTTCATTGGTAAAGACAATATAGATAGGTGGGAATTACCATCCTGAAGTAAGGATGAGGCAACTGGAGAAGTAGGCCTAGAAGATGAAGGTCAGAGCCAGAACACAGAGAGGCGACTGGGCCACTTGTGGATGATCTGGGTGCTCATGACATCATGTTTGGACTGTAGCATCCTTTTATAAGTTGCTTTTAGGGCTGTGGCCTGCTTGCAGCATGTCTTGTTCCCTAACTAAATAGAAGATGTTTTTTGATGACTTTTCTGTGCCTGAAGAACTCAGGCAAATCCTGCTAGGTTCAGGAAATAAAGTAGGTTCCCCTGTTGGAAGAAACTCTAGCTTCTACATACATCCTGGTTCACAGGTGTTAGAGAACATAATGGACTACCCATTCATGATCTGCCTGGAAACTTGTTATCCAAACACTAGTTAGTGTGTCCATGGTTTTTAGTAAGGAAATGTGTTGGAAGAGGCCAGAGTTTGAAAAGCAGCTGGTTGAGTACCTTCCTGTAAATGCATCCTAGAAACGTGTGAACACTGGCTGCTTCTGTTAAAAGTCTTGTCACAAAAAAAAAAGTCTTGTCACTATAGCTGGCCGCTGTAGGATTTACATTGGGCAGCTAACTTTTCTGACTGTCCCACCTCTCACCTCTTGAGTGCTGTGGAGAAGTAGCCACTGTGAGGACTGGTTGATTACTAGACTGGTTTCATATCAGAGGGCTCCAATGCCCTTTTCTGACTTCTGTGCATGGTACATCTACATAGAATAACAATAAAATCCTGAAAAAGAACTGATCTGCACAATGCCTTGAGGCCCATAGGGAACTTGCACAAAACCCCTTAGGGGAAAGGACCTTTCAGACCCCATTTTGAAGCTTCTCTGGCTTATGCCTGTTTCAAGAAGCTGAAATTTGAAGGTAGTATTCAAATTAAATATTAAACATAAACTTCAAAAACATGTAGTAAGTTGGGTGTGGTGGCTCATACCTGTAATTCTACTTGGGAGGCTGAGGTAGGATGATCGCACATGAGGAAGTCAGAATAACCTGCAGGAATCTGTTTCTTCCTTCCATTATGTCAGTTCCAGGGATCAAATTCAGGTTGTCAGCTTTGGTGGTAAGATCTTTAACCACTGAGCCATCTCACTGGCCCAGGTCTGTTTCCTCTTCAGTTCAGCCCTCGAAGATGTAGCTGTAAAAGCTTGAGTCCTTCTAGGGAAGGGCAAACAGGATAGACATTGGAAGTAGGAGAAGACTGGGAACAGGACAGGAGCCTTCCACAGAGGGCCTCTGAAAGACTCTACTGATCGAGGTATCAAAGCAGATGCTGAGACTCATAGCCAAACTTTGGACAGAGTGCAAGGAATCTTATGGAAGATGGGGTAGGGTTAGGGATTACAGGTGTGCACCACCGTGCCTGGCTGCCATTCTTTTCTTAATTAGAAACAAAACAGTATTGAACCCTTTGAACTTGGGGGTTGGGGGACATACTTACAAAAATAATTCTAGTTAGGTGTGGTTGTGATCCAGTCTGATCAACATAGTGAGCTCTAGTACAGCCAAGGTTACATGATAAGACCCTGTCTTTAATTTTAAAATAAAAATTGATACCCTAGGGAGCCAGAGGTGGCTCAGCAATAAGTGCTTACCGTACATACAAGCCTGATTATTTCAGTTGGGTTCTGGAAACCATGTAAAGGAAGGAGAAAACTGTCTCCACTTGGCATTCATACACATAATTAACATTAATAATAATATAAATCAAAGGGCTGAAGAGGTGCCTTAGTAGTTGATTGCCAAACTGCACTTGCAAAAGACCAGAGTTTTGTTTACCTGTAGCATCAGCTGTAGAGAATCCAGTGCTTCTCATCCCCCTGGAAAACTGCAGTGGTGTGCACAAAATAGTAAGCATTTAAAAATAAGTAAAACTAAAAAGCCAGGCATGTTAGTACATGCCTTTAATCCTAGCACTCAGAAGGCAGTTGCCTTGTACATAGATCTTGTCTCAAAAAAAAAAAGAGGTCAGTGATGAATAGTAAAAGGTCTGACATCCAAGGTCACCTCCCAGCAGCCTACATCCCCAGCTGCTTGCTTCTCCCATCATGCTCTAGTAGTGCTGTTGTGGGCAAAAGCAGTAGCTGACATGCAGTGATGTCTCCATTCTGTGATCCCTGACAAGCCCAGAGGAGACCCTGGTTGGCATCAGACAGCTCAATCACAAAGGGATTTGATTGTTGGGAGTGCTGATATCCTTGGCTATGATCTGACATTTTAAGCTGAGACCTCTTATTTTAAACATCCCATGGCTTCTGATTGTGTATATGGAATTCTGATGATTCCTTTTGTAAATTATGCCTGCAGTGGCCCTGTCTATCACTTTTAGTGGCACTGAATAAAGTCCTGTCTGTTCATTTGAGCCAATCTTAGTGTACCTATTAATACCAACCAGCCCTGGAGAAGGGCAGGCTAGAGGCTCTTACACACATCCTCCTGCTTCCTCTTTTCTGTTTTTAGAGTTTCAGGGTCTTTATGAAATTTGGTGCCGTTTTTAAAGTTGGATTTTTATTTATTTTTAGTAGATTTCCCCCGACCCCCTCCTGTGCTGGGGCCTAGAACCTCGTATGTGCTAGACAAGTGCTCTACCACTGAGCTAATGTCTCTCTATGTTGCTCAGGCTGGTCTGAGTTTACAGATTCCAGGAATCCAAGTACTGGGATTATGTATGTAACTCCATGCCTGCCTTGATCTTTGTAGTCTTGATCCTTGTGTTATTCAGATTTCTGAGACTGTTGTGAGAGACCTAAAACAGATAGGACAAAATAGCTGACATCAACAACTCAAACTCCAGTTTCAGAAGTTTAGCCCAAGCTTGCTTGGGCCTGTAGTGACACAGTACATCGAGTGGCTGGGAAACGTGTTTACCTCATGGTGAGAGAGCAAAACAGGAAGACTCCAGGGACCCCTCGGTGGTAGTGGAGCATGTACCCAGTGTGTTCTCTTCCCACTGGGCCACAGACTATAGAGATTAAGTCTCAACACATCAGTCCTTGGGCACCATTCAAGATCCAACCAGAGCAATACATCATCTTTAGACAGTACCAAGAAATCATTTCCGGAAGATTCTGAAAGCCCCGCCTTTGCTCAGATATGTGACTGCACTGTTGGGGTGCTTCAGGTGACATGTGTGGCTTCTTTGACTGCGGCTGAGTAGGAAGATGTACCCCATACGCCATGTTTCTCTTGTCTTCTGATTTCTTTGAGGGTGTATGGCAGGATTTCAGAGCTTTTTATCTGTTTTATTGGATTCTTATACCTCTCTCTCCCTTCCATCTCCCAACACTGGATAGGAGAGAAAGAAGGTCAAATGGAAGGGGATGTAGACCTCTTTAAACTACTTCCTGCTCATTAGAGGTGTTGAGTTCCTTGGGGCAAGGCCAATCCATCTAGTCAAGGTATCTCCAACTTCTTATCTCTTCTCACAGCCACTTGACAAAACAGCAACAGGAGCAGGAACCAGCAGGAGGAGCAGCCGCACCACTTCTCTTTGGGCTTTTTATACCCTCTCTAGAGTCCCCAGAATTAAACTATTTTAAGCTGGCAGAATCATGTCCCTGCAAGAGCACTCATGAGGCAAATAGTCCGCTGCTGTAGATAATCTGAAGCAGCCCCATATCTCACACCTGGGATTAAAACAAAAACATGTTTACATTAACATAACTGGATTTTTAAAGACAACAAAATTGTCGATACAGCTCTGGAGTTCCTCCAGGAGGGCAGTGTGTCACCACATCTCAACCTGGCTGTGTCCTCTCTTCTAGCACACACTCACAGGCCATAGTGGGAAAGTGCTCTCTGCCAAGTTCCTGCTGGACAATGCACGGATAGTCTCAGGAAGTCACGACCGGACCCTCAAACTCTGGGATCTACGCAGCAAAGTCTGTGAGGAAATTCAGTCTCTCTATGTGTGATTGTATAGCTATTCGTGGTGAGGTGATATTCCCATGTCAGAGTTTGCATTTTGTGTGTTCAGTCTGCACCCCAGGTTTATTTCAGTCTGAGAGGCACTGGGCTAGTGAGGGTTGTTTCTGCGTCAAGTCTCATTTCAATTCGTGATTTTGGGGGGCCCAGTGGTGAAGAGTATAAGCCATGCAACTGCCTTTGATTGATGATGTTTATTTGTTTGTTTGTTTTCAGGCATAAAGACAGTGTTTGCAGGATCCAGCTGCAATGACATTGTTTGCACTGAGCAGTGTGTTATGAGTGGACATTTTGACAAGAAAATTCGTTTTTGGGATATCCGGTATGACACTTAAGAGCTTGGTGGGGAGGCTGATGAGAATTTACATAAAGAGTTGTGAGCATGCTTTTGTGTGGGTGTGTGCTCTCATACTTGGGGACTGGCAGAGCTCCATGACACCTGGGTCTGAGCTGTGCTATTTTTTATACGAAGTAACCAGCCATCATGTGCTGTGCATACACTATGTACCAGATGCCCTACCAGCTGTAAGATCAGCAGAGATGAGAAGATGCTCATTCCCCCTCTAGGTAAATTAAGGCAGAACATATCATTCCATGGTGGTGGGAATGGGAATTAATCTGGAGAAGCAAATGGACTTTATGTGACAGAAAGCCATTGAAGGACATGCCCAACCAGAATAGCTTGGTGTGCCTGACATGTGGCAAGCAGGGCAGGTGCCAGTGAGATAGATAGGTGAGTGGGGATCAGATGTCCACTGGCTGTATAAGCCTCTCCAGGTGCTCTGGTGTTTGAGCTGTGGTTGGTAAGAGAAGAAAATGATGGCTCTGTAAAAGTCTGCTCAGTGATTTTTGTCTGCCTTTAGGGAGTGGGTTAGGGCACACTGAAAACAAAGTGTTGATGAGGACCTGAGTTCATGGCAGAAGGGGATAGATAGGGACGTGCTTTACGAGGTCCCTGTCACTGGACAAGGTTGGGAAGAGAGCAGTCAGGACCAAAAGGCCCAGTGAAATGAAGTCCTAAGTTGCTTGCTGAGGAGGAGGAGGAGGATAGAGGTAGCTAATAATTGGATTGAACAGAGAGGCCATCTTCTGGGTAGCAGTTGTCATGGGGTGTGGAGAGAAGGCTAAGAATGCATGTCTTTGCATGTACTTCAAAATGCAGGATGGTGCCCAAAAGGACTACCATTACGTTTTTGGCTCCTGTATTTTTTAATCTTTTCCCCAAAAACCTATGTTTTAAACCATGTTTTAAAAGTTTAGACTTTCACTGGATGTTAAAAGGCTGCTAGCCAATCCTTAAGTTGATAATCAGATGGCCACATACCAAAGAATTGGAAAAGGAGGCTAGAGCTGTATATAATAACAAGATAAACTCCTGCCCAGTTAAGACAGCAAATATGTTCATTGAAAACCTTCAGCAAAACCATTGTGTGTGTGTGTCTATTGGGTCCCGTCTACTGGGGGCTTATTAGCTGTCCTCTGTGGGCTTGAGCGTGTAAGAGTTAGGGAGACAGCAACAGAGGGTACATATTAACACAACTGTGCCCGAGGTCATCCAGTCCCATGTCTAAGGCAGCCACAGTGAAACTACCTGAACATTGATAGGGGCTGTGGCCTCCCCAGACATACCACAGCTGCTTCTGTGCTAGCCTATGTTAAAGCTAAATGTAACACCATTGGAATTGTACTGATCTGGGCTGGAGGACAGATCAGTGGTAGGACATACACTTATCATGCACATGGGGCCTCAGATTCAGAAAGTAACATCGGGAGTTCTGGTTGGTAATTGTCTTGTTATTCAAAAAAGGAACAAGAAAAAGTTTGCCAGTTTCACAGTTGTGGTCCTCAACATTCCTTTAGCCTCTTTTGCAGGGAATGTTTTGTAAGCAGTGAGGCTAGGGACATGCTTACTGCCCTTGAAGAGTGTTGGATCTATCTGGGCGGCAGCGTTTTCTGCTCAGTGACGTGACACTGTAATCAAGTTAGAGGTGGCCCACCTGTGCTAGGTCTCAGGCTTCTGTCTCTCTTAGTTCAGAGAGTGTGGTCCGAGAGATGGAGCTGTTGGGGAAGATTACTGCTCTGGACTTGAACCCTGAGAGAACTGAGCTCCTGAGCTGCTCCCGGGATGACCTGCTAAAAGTCATTGACCTCCGGACAAATGCTGTTAAGCAGACATTCAGGTACTGGGCCTGGGGCCTGGCCTTGCCTACTTGTGTCCTGCTGGATGAGTACACTGTGGCAGCTAATCTGTGTGCTGTTTATTTCAGTGCTCCTGGATTCAAGTGTGGCTCCGACTGGACCCGAGTCGTTTTTAGGTTAGTAGCTGAGTCCTACCCGATATTTGATTTATCTCAGCAGTTAAACCTGGGCATCTCCCTGTAAAGGGAGTAAAGCCTAATGTGATGCCTCTTGGAGCTTGCAGAAGTGAATCTGAGGGTCATCTGCTGGTTATGCTGGAAAATTGTGGGGGTTTGGGGGTTTTTGTTGTTTCCACTGGTGTTTCTTTTGTGATTGTGAGCATGGTTGGCTGATGTTTGGTTCTGGGTAAGCTGCCACATTCCCCTTTTCGCCTACCTACTTGCCAAGACTTGGTACTGGAAAAGCCTGACACCCTTGGTGTGGAATGGTACAGTTTGTTTGGAGGAGACACTGGACAGTGATCCAGTGTCCTTCACCTTATTCTGCTTACCACACTTTTCTCAAGTGTATTCTGGAGCCGGCTCTCGTAGTGGGGAAAAGTGCCTCTTTTCGTGTGGTGTGCATGTGGCCTCATGAGCGTCTGTATACATGCAGAGAGGGATGAGAGGAGGACAGCAAGGGTGCTGCTCTACCATTGCCTTGAGAACCTGGAGCGAGGCTGACAGCCTGCACGCCTCTATCTTCCCATAGTAGTGCTGGGGTTACAGGCGCGTGTGTGCACATGCACATTTTTTAACATGGGTTTTGGACACTAGAACTTGGATCTTCCTGCTGCAGCAAATACTCTGACAGATTAGGCCACCTCCCCAGCCTATCATGACATTTCATGTTTTCCCCTGCCTCCTCTCACTGAACCATGCAACAAACAGAAACTGTAAGCTTTCTTTTCAGAGGTTGGTTTTGGGCTCCCCTGTGTGTTCTGATAAGTAGGGGCATGGAGCCTCAGGCAACAGCGTGGCACTGCTCTTTGGTAGCCAGGTGGCTGAAAGAACAAAATAAGCACATTTGGCTGCTTACGACTAGCACTTGACCTGTGTCTGAACACAGGAGTGGTCGTGTGAGGTCAACGTTCTACAGCTTTTGCCCTCTTACTGTCTTCTCTAGCCCTGACGGCAGTTACGTGGCAGCAGGGTCAGCTGAGGGTTCTCTTTATGTCTGGAGTGTGCTCACAGGAAAAGTGGAGAAGGTTCTTTCAAAACAGCACAGGTAAGATGAACCCCATCAGTGCATGTACTCAGGCCCACATCTCAAGCAGAACCCGTGGTTTCATCCCAGGTTATGCCTTCTTTGGTTGGGTATGACCCTCAGAGGGCTCCTTGAGGACAGGCCTTCTCCCCATTTTCAGGGCTAATTAACCAAGGTTAGTTGGAGCCACTTTACCACTCAACAGTCTAGTAGACCATTCTAGCTGAGTTGCAGCAGGTAGAGCCACTGGGGGAAGGTTCAGAGTAGCTCCCTTCTTCATCTTTCTTCCTTGACTCTTCTGTTTGTCAGTAACTCCACAGGTTCTTACCTTCCTCACCTACCAGATAGGTAGCACGGGCTTTTTGTTGCTAATTCTGTGCCCAAAGCTACCTGCCAACCAGAACACAGGCCCTGGCTTCCTGTGGGCCACCATCTCTGCTCTTGACCTTGCAGTTGTGGAGCTGACTGTCCCGTCCCCATTCTCCTGTCCTCCCTCCCACCCCGTTCCTTTAGAGCTCCTCTTGAGTGAGCAAGATAAGGCCTGGTTGCTACAGGAGAGAGCATCTTGTAGCTAGTTCAGTGCTGCTTACTGGAACAGTGCAGCTTTCTTAGCATAAGCCCCTGCTGTGGGAGGGGGTGCCTGTATTTTTCACATGCCTGGGCCTGGTACGTGGCTGACTAAAGTCTCTTCTGATCAATCCTTAAAGCTCTTCCATAAATGCAGTGGCATGGGCCCCCTCCGGCTTGCATGTTGTCAGTGTGGACAAAGGAAGCAGAGCTGTGCTCTGGGCACAGCCTTGATGCATACCCTCAGGAGCAGCGCGGAACCCCCCACAACCCACCATGGAGGTGACATGTCCTCCCAGAGAAGAGCTGGAGCCAGGTGGTGCCACAGCTTTCATGAGAACTTTGACTTAAGGTCTCTAGTGGCCGAGAAGAATCAACACTGAATCAAAGTGACTCTGCAGGTCCCTAACAGAAATTGGATTCTTGTCTGCATTTGGGTGGGAAACACTAACTGACCTTCCATACCTCATGGGGAGCACAGGGTCTCTGCTGGGTCTCCCCACTGGACACAGTGCCAAGGACAACTGCACACACCGGGTAATGGGTCCCCTGTGTTTTTCCCGTCTTTCCAAAGTCTTCTGTGGCCTGATGCCACACTGTGGAGTAATTACCCAGGGGACTCACTGTAGGCATTAGGTCAGTGGAAACCAAATGTGGGGCCTGTCCTCGTGTGACAAAGGATAAGTGGAGCTGTTTTCAGGGCTGGCAATGTGTCTGGTCTTACTGCTGAAACCTCCTGCATCTTTGGCTGGCCTTCAGAACTCCAGGCTCCCTTCCTGCCAACACTTCGACATAGCTTTGTGTGTGCGTGTATGAGAGGAAAGGACTGTGCCAACCTTTCCCTGTCAGGTAGATTTGCAGCAGAGGTGAGAAACACATCTTTACCCTCCATCACTGAGTGTGTACAGCTTATCTGTGCTCACCTGGGCCTCTCCTGAAGCTGGTAGTGGCAAGTCTAGCCCCTACCTGTACATGCAGTGGCCTTAGTGTTCAGTACAAGAAGCCTGTATAGAGCAGGTTATGACAAAGGCAGAGAAAGCACCATCTGTACTGCTCAGCTGTGCACATGGTCTGAGCTCTGTGTCTGAAAGTCTGAAGCACCATGTGTTTGTCACATTTACTTTGCACTTTATTTTTTTATTTTTTATTTTTTTTGCCTCCACACTGGTTCTCTGGACAGTGGGGACAGGCGTGCTAGAGCTAGGGAAGAGGGCAGCCCTCTTGTCCTGCTTGCAACTCACCTGCTGGCTTGCTGCCAGAAAGCTTGTGTTGACGGAAGTTGAAATTGGCTGGCCAGGGCACATCTTTTATTTATTTAATTATGTGTCCCAACAGAACTTGACTGTAAATAAAGAAAAAATTCTGTTATATGCTTTTCAAACTCCTTGTATCTTGATTGCTTTTTTTCCTTTGTTTCCTTAAGTAGAGGGAGGGGCGTGGACCAGCCTCATGCCTCCCAGTGGATAGGGCAACAAAGGCAGGCAACCTTGCCCAGCAGGTAGTTAGTGCTTCCAGATAATAGAGAGTGCTTACCTGGTGGCTTTGGTCATTTTCAGCATGTCACCTGCGCCATAAATTACTACTTCCTATAAATAGTAGTCCTATAAATAGTAGTGCTTCTGCTTTTGTCCTATGCAAATCTGAACACTAGGGAACAGTTTGCAGGTCCCTCCCACCCTTTGTCCCCCACCTGGGTGTTCATGGGCCAATACACTGCCTCTGCTGAAGATTTATAAGTTGTAGCACAGAAACACCTCACTGTTTACCAGTCTTGGTAAAACCGCTGTCTGCTATCCAGCATCAGCTTTCCTTTAAGGGAGAAAGGGAGCATCAGGTAAGTATCACAGTTGCTTCAAGCCACCATGGTTTTTAACTTGAAGCAGAACTGCTCTTGACTTCATTCACATCCTCCTCAGTAACCAGTGTTTTTTAGCTGCCAACACTGAGCACTGGGGCATGCATCTTGTTCACCCTAGGTCTGCCCCTTTCCTACCTGCAGGTGGAGTCCTCGAATCACTGGACAGGGTGTGGTCTTGTTTTCAGGTGTTTCTCATATACAGGCCACCGAAGAGAATAGACTGGCTGCCTCCTAGTAATAGAAACCTGTTCGGTCTGTATGTTACTTGTATATAATGGTGGATATTTTTAATTAATGGCTTTATATTCACTAGGTTATTTCTGAATGCAGTATTATAAGTCAGGTTAGAGGCTTGATTCCTAAAGTACATTCTGTGGGTGCACTGCCGTGCCCAACCCACACTCCTGAGATTGGGTCTCACTGTAACCTTGACTGGCCTGTAACTCACAGAGATCCTCCTGCCTCTGGAGTGCTCGGATTAAAAGGGTGCACCATGGTGCCCAACCCTTGTATACTGCTTTTTATCATATATCCTAGACTCTGGGGCACAGGGAACTTACAGTAAATGTATGGAGGAGAGGACAAGGGCAGCTCAGTTTCCAAGGATACTTTGCCTGGGAAACAAGATTAACATGACTCAAGGCATACAGAGCCCCATGTGTCTTCATGTCTGTTTGCCTAACTGGGGTTTTGTCAGTCTCACATCTTGAAACATGACGTTTATACACTAGCCTGTGTGGAATATACTAAGGTGAATAACGCTGATAATACTAGATACCACTGCTTGCTTTTAGTAAAACCATGTTTGTATAAGGTGGCCCAAGTAGTAGTACAATGAGTTCTTAAGTTCATTTATCTGAATTATAGTTTACCTTAAACCCGGGAGGAAGTTTCACAGCTGAGTTCTGACCAGCATCGTGACCTGCAGACTTGAATGGGTTTCTCCAGAAGTGCCTGCCCAGACGTGCATGCCAGCCAAGACCACACTGATTTTTCCTTGGCTGCCTTGCCTAAGCAGACTGCTGCTCTGATCTCCGCTCTGGCTTGCATTGTGACCTTGCTGGTGTCTTTTCTACCTCTGAACTCTCCTGGCCTGTTTATTACAGATACTTCTCCAGTCCACTACTTGGTACTCCCATCCTTGGCTGTTTGTTTAATGATCAGTTTGCTTGGATCAGGGTCTATTTAGCTTTTGCTGCATAACAAACTACCTTTAAAATACAATGGCTTAGTGTAGCCATTCTGGAAATCAGTATAGAAGCTTTTCAGAAATCTAAGATTAGAATAGAACTATCACAACACCCAGTTAGACCACTCTTGGGTGCTGCAAAGATATTTGCACATCCATGTTTATTGCTGTTCCCCACAATAGCAAAAATGTGGAATCAGCCTAGACATTCATCAAGACATAACTGGATGGTGAAAATATATGCACACACAGTGCAATTTCTTGAACCATAAAGAAACATGAAATTTGAAGGATGGAACTGGAAAGCATACTAAGCAAGGTAATCCAGGCTTAAAAGTTGAGTTTCTAATTGTTAAGTATGTGTATGTCAATGGAAGTAAATGAGGGTAAAAAGTCAGGAAACTAGAAAGGGAAATGGGGTGGGAGTGCTTAAAACAGTGGGTGGGGAAGACAGTAGAACACGTGGGAACCAAAGTAGAAGGTGGACTACTAAGAATGAAAGGGGAAGGAAAGAGGGAGGAAGCAACCAACACACACATGTATATGCACACATACTATGAAGCAAAGAACCCTGTAAGCTGCATCTTCATAAATACAATCACTTGTCTGTATGTACATGGACATCCGCGTGCCAACACCACGTGTGGAGGTCAGAGGGCAGCTTGTAGGAATTGGTCCATCATATGTATAGGTCCTGGGATGGAAGTCAGGTCATCAGGGCACGTAGCAAGCAGCTTACCAACTAAGCCATCTTGTTTACCAAGAACATAAAAGGACTTAAAGAGGTATTATTGAGTCATATGGGGATACATGGTTAGAGGGCAGCCTCCCGAGTCCTTAATTGGTCTGTTGATATGAGGTCAGCTAGGGGCATAGCGATGGGGTAGCAAGAAAGCATCAGTGTGTGAGCATTTGTCACCAGTTAAGTCACTTGTTAACATGTTGACTATAGCAGATGACATGGGCAGGGTTGGTGCTCTCCCAGACCTGGGGAAATGGAGGGTTCTGGGGGAGAGGGGAATCATGCTGCTGTCTTGGGAGTCGGCCCAGTAAGATCTGCTCTCCCATTGCCTGCTCTAGAAGAACAGTATCACTTGCTGATGTTTCAGTGCTTGGTGCAGAATTTGGTTGGTTTTCCTCTGCAAACTTAAATATCTGTCTCAAAGACAGACATTATTTGTCTTGCCCATTACAGTATGCTGGGCTTCAGCTGGTTCGCTCTGATTCCAGGACACAGGGATGCAGGGAAAGCAGGTGAATGTGTATTTGGGCTTTTTAAAGAGAGCTAGAGTAAACAGGATGGGGGGGAATGCTTATGACTCTCAAGGCTGATTTCTAGTTGGGGAACCAGAAGGCCGCATACTTGCTGGAGCATACCAAATGGTTCTGAGAGACTGAATCAGGAGCTCCCAGGAGCCACCTTAGTACCCTACTGAGTGCACGGCACATAGTGGGCGCCCGGTAATCATTTGTTTTTTTGTTTTTGTTTGTTTTTTAAGTAGTATGTTATTCTGGGTTGACCTCAGACTTCCTGAGCATGACCTTGAACTTCTGACTCTCTTACCTCTTCAACCTAAGTGCTGGGATTACAGGCATGTGCCACCTCTCCCGGCTTCTACAGTGCTGGGTGTTGAATTTAGGGTTTTGTAAGCAATTTGTTGTGTTGTGATTCCCATACCATGTTATGTATGTTTGTTCGTTCATTTGTTTATGGGGCGGTACTTGCTATGGTGCGCAGGTAGAACAACTTGCGGTAGTTCTACTACGTGGGCTCCAGGGATCAAGCTTGGGTTGTCAGACTTGGTGGCAAGCACATTTACCTGCTGAGTCATCTCTCTGGCCCTCACATATTAAAGTGAGCAATTTTGTGATATTTTATAGATTTACAATGTAAGATCTGTAAGCAGAAGACTGATCCAAAGAAAAGTGGATGCTTCTTAAATGGAGACCACTGCAAAGAACCACAACTAATCAAAATGCAGAGCTGTGGGCCCAGTCCCTGTGGATACATTTACCAACACTCCCCACCTTAAAGCTTAGGAAACATGGCTGAAGAGACACAGAAAGACTGTAAGAACCAGGACTTTGCTGTGAGACTGTGTGTTTTGTTGTTTTTTTTTTAAAGATTTATTATTTATATAGCATTCTGCCTGCACACCAGATCTCACTATAGATGGTTATGAGCCACCATATGGTTGCTGGGGTTTAAACTCAGAACCTCTGGAAGAACAGCCAGTGCTCTTGACCTCTGAGCCATCTCTCCAGCCCGAGACTGTGTTTTAGTAACATCAGAAGCTATACTTGCAAAGCCCCACCAGCATGACCACCCAAATGTGAGCTGAGCAAGAACACCAAAAGACACTCTATGTAACAGGAAAACAAAACTCATGAGGCCTCAGCCCTACACAAAGAACTACAGGCAACTGAGAAAAGCTAGGAGTAGGAGAGGTAGTCCACCCCGGAGAAGAACACAAAAATTGGTTGTCCAGTGCCAAATGGCCAGTTCTGAAAACATATACAAGTAACAAATGGACTCAACAGGTTATATTTAGGAATATACATGTATATACAAATACATATGTGCATGCAGTAATAATTTGTGAGAAAAGATGCTATGAATTTAAAGGAAAGCAGGGAAGAGTTTATGGAGTGTCTGGAGGGAGGAAAGGGGAGGAAGAAATGTTATAATTAAATTTTAATCTCAAAAATAAAATAAAAGCCAAGATCCTGGAACTGGAAGGATGACTCACCAGGGTTAGGATGCTTCCCACCAAGCCCAACAACCCGAGTTCTGTCCTCAGAAACTACATGATAGAAGGGGAAACCAGCTCTTGCAGTTTGTCCTTGCACCTTCACCTGTACATGCACAGGCAATTTTAAAACTGTTTTAAAGCACATTCACATAAGTTATACAGATTTCAGGTTCACAAGCCTAGTATCCATCCATGAGAGGGGAAAGGACACTGAGTTCTTTAGAAGTGGATTCATTGTTATGGAGACCCCGTTGGCATTGAGGTGCTGTTGGCAAAACAGAGCCTAAAGAAGAACCCATGCATATATCAGCCTTCAGTGGAGGAGGCAGCGAGTAAGTCTGATGAAGTCCTTCTGTCTCTAGCCCTGTACTGAGCATTTCTTCAAGGGTCTTGCCTACTCTTTCCATAGGTTTCTTCACCCCCACAAAATGGTCAGGCCATGATGTTGCCCTTTATAAATGGGGAAAAGGGAAGACTGAGCGGCTTTTTCAGCCCGAGCTCCCATTACACACATCTGGGACATCAATAACATTGGGTGTCAGGGTGATGAAGGGATTCCATCCCCTTGGGGAATAGTTACC